CAAGACCTTGTAAGATAAATGTATGTATAAAACAAGACCTTGTAAGATAAGAGGTGAGCTCAGCGTTATAAGTTGCTACAACCAAGAATCCAAGAACTAGATAGGTTAGCATGCATATCCTTAAAGACATTCTATACCTAAAATAAAGAATTTGAAGATGAAATAACATTTATTTTGTTATGATTTTTTGTACTATAAATCAATAAATAGCAGTACAATTCACCTAAAAAAAATATCATATAAAAGATTTGCAATAACGCTTTTGCTAAAAAGATCTTTAAAAATTGAACGGCCATTTTTCCCAAACATTTTTTGTGTTCGCCGACAATTCCGCATGTTTTACATTTATCTAGTAGGAAGTTTTATCATTTTTTCGCGGAATTCCACGTTAATCTAATATTTGCAATACAAAAAATGCGCAAATTATGCGGGAAAAATGCAAAAATTTCGCAAAAAACATATTCTATTTTTTCGCGGAAAGGTTTCTACAGTGCCTAGGAATACCTACTTTCAGGAAGTAGAAAGGTTTCTACATCGCCTAGGAATACCTACTTTCAGGAAGTAGAAAGGTTTCTACATCGCCTAGGAATACCTGGTTTCAGGAAGTAGAAAGGCTTCTACATCGTCTAGGAATACCTTGTTTCAGGTAGTAGAAAGGTTTCTACATCGCCTAGGAATACCTGGTTTCAGGAATTAGAAAGGTTTCTACATCGCTTCGGAATTCCTGGTTTTAGGAAGTAGAAAGGTTTCTACATCGTCTAGGAATACCTGGTTTCAGGAAGTAGAAAGGTTTCTACGGCGCCTAGGAATACCTGGTTCCAGGAAGTAGAAAGGTTTCTACGGCGCCTAGGAATACCTGGTTTCAGGAAGTAGAAAGGTTTCTACGGAGCCTAGGAATACCTAGTTTCAGGAAGTAGACAGGTTTCTACGGAGCCTAGGAATACCTAGTTTCAGGAAGTAGAAAGGTTTCTACGGCGCCAAAGGCTCTGATGGAGAAGCCGATAATATCCAGAAATGTATCCCCCTAGATTAGATATATTAGATATATGTTATATCTAGAGATGGGCAGCGTGTTTTTAACCGTACAAAATAGTTAAGAACAAACAAAATTTTCGAAAAAAGGGTGTCGTTCAGAAAATAAAACAAGATGAATTGTTCAGAGAAATAAAAAAATCATTGGGTTTTTTTTTTTAAAACGAAGGAAAATAAAACAAAAAACGAACGATTTCAAATCGTTTGAACTAACTGGAAAAAAACTATCATTTTTTTACTGAACAAACGAATTTTTCCAAAAAGTTTTGAAAAAAGTGATAATTTCTTTTACTGAACGAATGATTTTATTGAAGGATCGATTTTACTGAACGATAGTTCAGGGAGAAAACATACAAAATAGATGGAAAATGATAATTTTGAGAACGAACCAAAACCAATAATTTAAAAAAAAAACACAAACGAAATGGGACGTTCATAAACGATGAACAAACGAAATGAAAAAAAAGTCAAAGGTGCCTACTGACCATCTCTAGTTGTATCAGCATTAAACATAAGACCACATTGATCAAGCTAGTCTACATTTTGTGCATACACTGGTCAACGGTATATACAACATACAAGTGAATGCATATACTGTACATTTACACTAGATCCTTGTACTGGTTCGGAGCATGCAACAATTATATATTGAAATAAGAATAGTATCAATTTTCATAATTTTATAATAATTGAACAAAGACCAAGTTTAATTAATGTATCTATATTCTCTTTTTATACTCTTGAAAGTAAAAGTACGATTTTAGTTATTTTTCCAAGGGATGAAATCCGTCGTCTTTGCAATAAGGACAGAGATCAGGGACCAAAGGGAATCGGTGTTCTAGGTATAGATAATGTAGTGACATACAGTACATCGGATAAATGAGAGTTGTGCCATCTGTGTATTCAGTATACACAGATCCAGCAGTAGACAGTTTTTCTATATCATAGCATAAAACAATTGCTGATTAAAACTGCAAATTGTGAACTTATACGATCATCAGTAAACTTGGAAAATCATCCTATAGGCACAACAATACTTCTCCGAAACACAAGAGCTTAAACCTAGGTAAAATATGAATTCTATTTAAAATATTTTACATTTCTGAAGTTTTAGAGAAATTTACATTTCTGGAACAGAGCTAGACTATCCTTCCCCCGCCTATGCCATTTGTGGACATGTTTTTTTAAAGAAGGATGGAAACCAACGCATATTTTGTATTAGAGAATGTTAAATAGTTTCAAAATTGGATTCGTCTCAATGGATGATTTCTTAATTAAAATAACATCTACAAAAATCCCCCTCTTCTTTCTATGTACATGTTGACCTTTTAATCTTTATATAGATTTATATTGATATAATGTATACTTGTCTCTGTTGTGGAATAGTTTCATGTTTGCTTGACACCCAGGCGAGAAAGAGAAGGAAAAGGGTCAACCCACCAGCAGAACTAAGCGCACACAACCAAATCTTCTTAAATTACAAGTTTTTTAAATAACATTGGTCACATTTTTACTATTTTTAACTGTTTTGCCTTTATTTCTCAGTCAAATTATTTTGCATAAATATTGGAATTTGAAACATTTCTTTGCTAAGACTTCTTACAGGCTGGATTTCTTAGATATCAAAATAGAATGAAATAAACCAATCAGTTAATCAACAGATCAGTCAATCAATTAATCATTCAATCATTCTGTAGATATTCATTCAATTTAATCATTCGATTAATTTATCAATCAATCAATTTATCAAATAAGAAATCAATCAATCAATCAATCAATCAATTATAAACCGATGTATAAAGATTATTCTAATACAGGTTGTAATGGTTTAAAGAAAGCCATGAAGTCAAGTTGTTTTCCAGGTTTTTCCATTGAACAGTAGGTTGATTGAAGCATCATTTTACCACCAAAGTCGGCAACCTAAATCAAAAACTAAATGAGAAAATTTTAATTGTTGAATTTAAATTAAAAATGCATTTTTCAACTGTTGATATTAATTTCATAGATTTCTGACCATGTTTATCGTAAAACAAGCTGTATTCTGTAGAAGTTTGTTTTTATTATTGTTTTGTAAAAACTTATCTTGAATGAAAACAAACTAAAAACGATCATGTTCCTTCATATATTTTCTCTCAGTTTCATAATTTAGAAGTTCGTTGAATTAATGAATTCAAATTGTAGATTTCCAGACTTTTGAGGGAGTAACAGCAATTAATAAAATTATCAAAATTGGAAATTCCCCAATTACCAGGGAATCTGAGGATTTCCCCAATTACCAGGGAATCTGAGGATTTCCCCAATTACCAGGAAATCTGAGGATTTCCCCAATTACCAGGAAATCTGAGGATTTCCCCAATTACCAGGAAATCTGGGAAATTCTCCAAATACCTGTTAATCTTGAGAATTTCACAAATACCTGTGAATCTTGGGAATTCCCCAAATACCTGTGAATCTGGGAAAATCCAAAAATACCTGGGAATCTTAGGAATTCCCCAAATACTATGAATCTGGGGAATTCCCTTAATACCTGTTAATCTTGGGAATTCCCCAAATACATGGGAATCTGGTAAATTCCCAAAATCTGAGGGTAGCTTTTTTCAAGTAAAGTAAATTTCTCAAATGCCTAGCTATTTGGGAAATTTCCCAATTACCCAAACATTTGGGGAATTCCCTAAATATCCAGTCAATTGAATTTACAAAATCTTTAAATATACCACCCTCAAATTCCTAAAGGACTTGGGGAAGTTTTAGGAGTTCCCCAAGTGCCTGGGAATCTGGGAAATTTCCTAAATACCTGGGAATCTGGGAACGTCCCCAAATTCCTATTTTCTCTAAAAATATAATTGCTGTCTGGTCATGAGACTTTTATTGAACCATTTAAAAGTCCAAAATCCTTAAAAGTTTTTTAACACAGAAACAAGGTATTGCTCAGCAATACATGTGCCTTGTACCTTTATTCTTTGTGCGGTCATAAACATATCTGCGCCAGCTATATCTACTTCTTCTCTCTCCAACATACCAATTATACCATTAAATTCAGATGTTTTTCCTTTATTTCGGACTCCACCAGATACCTGCAAACATATAGAGAAGCTTTACAACCTTAATATTCTTGTATGGGGTACTTCAACACTGAATTAGGGGGGGGGGTCCTAGATATGAATAGTTTAAAAGATGTTTGGTAGTATAGTTTTGAAAAAAAAGATTAAACAACGGTTAAAAGATTGACTACATTCCAAAAAAAACACCGTTTAAACATGACAAGTGAAAAAATTTTTTTAGAAAGCTCACAATTCTTTTTTTGTATTTGCCAAAAATATGAAAAAAGGTTTAACTACCATTTTTAGGAAAAAAAAACTTGGGACATTTGCGCAAGAATTAAATAATTGTTACATGTCTAAAAAGGCTAGTTCTGATGTATAATCAAGAAAATGACCAAACCATCATTAAACAGTAAAGTTCCCATACTCACTTTATTTCCATAGAAACCATCAATTGAAGGAATGGGTTTATATTTAAAGTTCATGATTTCACTCATCAAATGAAATATATCTCCCATTGCTCCTTCAAACCTATCTCCATTCAGTCTAAAATAAATCTGTTCCTTTGTTTGTTTGTTTCTCAAATATGCACAAATATCTTTGATCACATCATGTGCACTTTGATCACATCATGTGCACTTTGATCACATCATGTGCACTTTGATCACATCATGTGCACTTTATTATTTAAATAATATGTACACATGATGTGATCATTAATATAGTTTTTAAAGTAATGATGTCGGTTCAATCTTTAATTATATTTCAACATTCTTTTTGATAGCTCGTTCTTTAAACACTCATCAGAAATCAGAAATTTCAAAAGAAGTGTCAAAGAAACAAAACAGAAAACCATTACTTTTGTTAGATCCCCCCAACCCCCCAACATCTTTGAACATCTGTCCAAATGGCTAAATTGATTCGTCCGAAATGACATCAACCCATCTCACGTGAGAAAATAAAGAGATTTCCCCAAAAAATTTGATAAAATATGTTTTTATCTGTTTCGTAAAACTAATTACCTGAATACAACCTTATCAAGATATCCTACAGTTAATTGTATGCCATGTAAATCTATTCTGTTAATAACAGCTTAAATGTTATCTGGTGCAAATACAGGGTTTAATTTTTAATTTTAACAGTATTTGTGAATATTGATAATGCAGTGACGAAAACTTTTGTTAAACAAAAAATATGAGAAATGGTGTGAAATTTAGTTATAAGAATATATTTAAGTTAAGGATGAAACTTAATTTGTTAGAACTTTTTTGATAAAAACGCAAATCTAACTTGCATCAATTTAAAACTTTACTTATTACAGTTTAAACAGATTTGAGAATTTTATTTATAATTTTCAAAATTATTCAGATTTTTCCTTGTTTTATGTTAATAAAATCTCTTATGTAAGCCAGAAAAAATGTCATCATGATAAATCAAAATATCTGTCTCGAATCTAGATACATTGAGTTCAAAAACGTTAATTTCTTATAAATCCCATGAAAATTCAGAATTATCAGCAAAAAACCGTTTACTCTGAAATATGCCAGAGCAGCCTTAAGCAAAGTTTTTGTTGACAAAAAAAAAGACAAATGGATGTTATTCAGGGGTTCAAGGCACATCTTTTGATACCCATATCAAGGTGGTTTGAAAAAATTTTAAAATCAACCATCACTTATGGATCTTTGCTTTTTTTAATGTTAATTACTGAATGAGTTATTTTTTCTTATTTTTCTTTTATAAATTTTACCTTTAATTTACTACTGTATAATGTTTTGCTTGTACAAAAAGGATTTTTATTTGAAACGGACTGTATATTACAACAGACTGTATATTACAACAGACTGTATATTACAACAGACTGTATATTACAACAGACTATATATTACAATGGACCGTTTATTACAACGGACTGTAAATTACAACGGACTGTATATTACAACAGACTGTGTATTAAAACGGACTGTATATTACAACAGACTGTATATTACAACAGACTGTATACTACAACAGACTATATATTACAATGGACCGTTTATTACAACGGACTGTATAGTCCGGATCACATGACTCGAACTTCCACCAATGGCAGTGCAAGATTGTTGTCATGTGTCTCTGTCTGTATCATGTGGCCAGTATGCTGCACTGCCATTGGTGGAAGTTCTGCTGACGTAATACGGACTTATGCAGACTATATGTAATAAAATTATCAATTATATCTATTAAAAATGCAAAATGAAAATAAAAAATTATGAGAGGAGCAAACCTAAGATTATCAGGCTCTTTTGTGATATAATCGTTTAATCAGATTGGTTGCGTATATGATCTGTTTAATACTACAAATCTTATACAAAATATCATACATAAACGTTTTAGTATAACTTTGACACAGTTTTATATAAATTTCTCGAGACAGGAACATCAGATAGATGTCTTATATGTATTGTTCAACGCCTGAGATTCTCAGGTTTCATCCTATACCCCCTTTCAAATTTCCTTTACAGTCCCTTTAAACGATTTGAATTTAAAATAAAAGAAATAAATTGTGTCCTTGCTACAACGTTTTATTTTCTAATCCCTATATCTTTGCAACTCAAGGTCGTACACCATAGAAATTTAAAGCTATGAATTCTGCTAGATCAAATAATTTAAGTATGAAATATAAAAAAGTTTACACCTCAGATTCCAAAAATATAGAGATTATAAAATTTGAGCTTTAGGTAGACTCAATTTCTTTCACAATTAAATATGAAAATTTTTGTAATATTGAAAAAATAAGCTTTCCTCATTCGGTCAGTGCTCTCCACAGAAATAGGAGATTCGAAGGAAACATTTTCAGTTATAGACTAAAATATTTAAAGTTTATAAAACTTAAAGGGAGTGTTCGCGAAAAATGAAAGGGGGTATAGGCTAAATGCGATAAAAAACGCTTTTGATCGCTACTATTCTTACTTCTATCTGTTGCGTATATAAGGTGAAAATTGTTAAAGACGTCTCATACCGAATAACTTAGCGCCCTTACAAATTCAGGAAATTGCAACATACGACTTAGACCGTAAAGAATCAATTTAATTTCAAACAAATCATTCAGATATTACAACCTTTAGTCATCGATTATCTTTCGCCACATTTGTATAAAGTTTATATTTTATAATATTTTTTTTTAGAAAACGTTTTAACGGAATTCGGAAAATGTGAGTGGTGCGTGGCATTCTTAGATAGTTGCGCAAGCGACAAGGGAAATAATCAAATTTAAAACAAATTAATTAGTATGAGACGTCTTTAACAATTTTCTCCTTATAGACGCAACAGATAGAAAAAAGATTAGTAGCAATCAAAAGCGCTTTTTTATCGCATTAAGCCTATACCCCCTTTCATTTTTTGCAAACACTCCCTTTAAGACAAAGATATTTTTAATTTTAGTTTAAAGACTTAATAAGTAAAAACATTTAGCTATTTTTTCATTGAAAAATGTTGATTTGTTTTTACAAGCAAATTTTGATTCGAATATTCTTTGTCCAATTAGAAAACCAACTTCCGGCCTAATAGTTTTGTATTCCAAATTATTTCTCAAAAATGTTGCTGATTTTTGTTTTTTGACAAACAAAGAAAAACTTTAAAAGCATCCTGAATCTTAAAGCTAAAATTTAAAAAAGGGGAAGCACTATAATTCACCTTTAAAGTTTTTACTTCCATTATCACAGAGTTATTCTTTCTGATGAGTTTCATATTGTCTATCCCTTTCATTTCAAACCTTCAAAAAATAAAAAAAATTGATTTTACCTTTTTGATACAGTGATAACTAGAAAACTCTAGAATAAGAAGTCGACATTAAGACTCACGTTATGGCGTTAAATAAGCCAATAAACATATGAAGCACAGTAATTGTGCCGTGTAAACAGACCCATTTCACAAAATAAGTAATTTAAAATCTTACTAGAAAACTATTTGCTTTGTAACAACATCAAATGCATTTCAGTATTTCTTTAATGTCGTCTTCCTATTCTTAAATTGTCTGGTTATCATTGTGTATTATTAATAACATTACAAGTGTGAAGAAGTAGAAAGTGAAAGAAAAGGCTAGTTGTTTGAAAAACGTTAACAAGATTTTTGATATTCAAATTTTAAAAAACGAAAATTTTGAAAACAAAATATTCAAGAAAATAAAACTTTAAATGAAAATCGAATTCAAAATTTAGTTCAATCGTTATTTACCTTTTAATAAATTCTTCTGCATCGTTTTTAAAAACTGCAAATGCATGATTTACTTCAATTTTGTCCTCAAATAAAATAAATTATTTTATATCATGGTTTATTTCACTTCACTCTAGATATAAACATGTCATTTTAGACTTGTTGAATTCTGACGGTATATTTTCAAACAGTGCATGGCCAATTCACAACGTTTTCTTTAGATACTTATATGACAGTAACAATGTGGAAAATGTAATGGAAGATTTTAAAAACTATGACTGGCGTCTTAAAACCAATTTTATGATATTTTGCGTAATTTGCATCAATTCAATTACTTTGCTTGTCAAGGAGTATGTTTATTAGTGAGGGTGTCTGTCCGTTTGTATTAAAAAAACGTCAAAACGGCTGACCGGATTGGGACCTCACATGACCCTAGGGAAGGTTTATGGAACATCAAAATTGGAGGGAAAATTCCTTGTAAACACAGGGTTAGTCAAAAAAAGGTAAATAGGAGATCTTGCACATAATGAATCTTTTTTTGGAAATCTCATTTTTGACAAATATGTATGCAATTTTTGAATTTTTTTTATAGGCAATCTGATAGACCCTTAATAATACTCCGCGAAACTATTTTTTATTCAAAATAAGATGAGTAGGAAACCAAAAGTGCGGGATTATATCATTTCTATCACACCTTAAAATCTTTAACTGCAGATCAGATGAGTAGTTTCGGAGAAAATGCGCGAAATTGTGTTCAGAAAATACGATAATACGAATTTTTGAGCTAAGTAAAAATGTCTAAATTAGAATAATAGGAAAATACGCATAATGGAGTGAATCAATAAAGTATGTTAATTGCGTATTTTCTGAATTTAATTTCGCGCATTTTTTCCGAAACTACTCATCTGATCTGCAGTTAAAGATTTTAAGGTGTGATAGAAATAATATGTTCCTGCACTTTTGTTTTCCGACTCATCTAATATTAAGCAAAAAATAGTTTCGCAGAAAGTTTTAATAGGGTCTATATTAGATTTTTAGATAGATGGATTATTAGAATTTCTATGAAAAAATTGAAATAAAAAAATTATACATATTTGTAAAAAATGAGATTACCAGAAAAGATTTAACATATGCAAGATCTCACTATCCACTATTTTTTTGGCTCACCCTGTAGTTGACATTTTTTTGAAAATGTGCCAATTAAAAAAGAAAAATTCGCCAAAATTTTAAAATGATTTTTAATAGCCAACTTTCAGAGCAACAGTTAAAATCTAATAATATTTCCAGGAACTAAAATATTTAAACATATTGGATTGATACCTGCTCAGGAATACTGCAAAACATAATGGTTGAGCCATCCATGTTTACAGAGGAAACATCCTACACATATTTAACTAGAAACTAGTAGAATTTAGTTAACACGGAATAGATTATCAAGATCAATTAGTCGCAATGAATTTTTTAACAAATTATTCACGATGTCATTGGTATCAAATGTATAATTTCTTAAAACTTAAAATTTTTGTTGTCATATCAAAACTAGGAACCAATTGTAACGGAACATATCAAAAATAGGAACCAATTGTAACGGAACATATCAAAACTAGGAACCAGCTGTAACGGAACATATCAGAACTAGGAACCAATTGTAACGGAACATATCAAAACTAGGAACCAACTGTAATGGAACATATCAAAACTAGGAACCAATATTAACGGAACATATTAAAACTAGGAACCAATTGTAACGGAACATATCAAAATTAGGAACCAATTGTAATAGAACATATCAAAACTAGGAACCAATTTTAACGGAACATATCAAAACTAGGAACCAACTGTAACGGAACATATCAAAACTAGGAACTAACTGTAACGGAACATATCAGAACTAGGTACCAACTGTAACTGAACATATCAGAATTAGGAACCAACTGTAACTGAACATATCAAAACTAGGAACCAACTGTAACGGAACATATCAAAACTAGGTACCAGCTGTAACGGAACATATAAAAACTAGGAACCAATTGTAACGGAATATATCAAAACCAGGAACCAACTGTAACGGAACATATCAAAACTAGGAACCAATTGTAACGGAACATATCAAAACTAGGAACCAACTGTAACAGAACATATCAAAACTAGGAACAAATTTTAACGGAACATATCAAAACCAGGAACCAACTGTAACGGAACATATCAAAACTAGGAACCAATTGTAACGGATCATATCAAAACTAGGAACCAACTGTAACGGAACATATCAAAACTAGGAACCAATTGTAACGGAACATATCAGAACTAGGAACCAACTGTAACGGAACATATCAAAACTAGGAACCAACTGTAACGGAACATATAAAAACTAGGAACCAACTGTAACGAAACAATCATTTCCATCGTCAATCAATTTTTGTTACAGTGATAACCAGATAACTCTGAAATGGGCAGACGACCTTCAGACTTATGGCATGACTTTAAATAGTCCAATAAGAATGGTAAACAGCAATTATGCATTGTAAACAGACACATTTCACTAAATTAGTAATTTAATAAGTGTCTAGTAAAACTATTTGATTTGTAACACCATCAAATACATTTAAAATTGCTATAAAGCCATCTTCCTATATAAAAGTTTTCTGGTTATCACTGTATGTAAACTTGTTCCGGCGTTAGAAATTCGCAAATTGCTGTCTTTGACTATTTAGATTTGAGTGTTTAATAGTCGTCTTCCTGTTCCACAGTAGAGTGTACTGAACTGATCTGCTAAACCATGTCAAGAGTTCGGTGTTAAGCGTAGAGTCACATTTCTAGAGGGCAAAACTTTGTAATTAAAACCTTGACTCTATCGATCAAGTGGTTAACGCCTCCCCCCTCAATGCTTCTTTAAATCGTGGATGTTACTTTAATGCCTCGGTTGCCAAATGAGGTTTTATTGATTTAAAAGTTTTTGCTGTGAAGTTTTGCTGAAGTTACACTCGTATAAAAGGTTTCGCTTGTAGGCTGCCAACCGTCGCATTATTTGTGGTTAGCAGCTCTTGTACCTTGATCTGGTTGATATTCAGCTGTGGTATTGTTGTATAGTGGAGATCTAGAGCACCAACAATAAGTTCATCGCTCTCATCACAAAGAACCAGGTTTATCACTGTAAAATCATAAAGTTTTCCAGATATTATTTTCATCTTGCATTTTTTAAAGAGACTTTTAAATCAACCTTTTTCTATTTAGAAGAGGGGCAATGTTCGAATCACAAGAATTCCCTTAAAACCTTTGCAAGAGAAAAATGATAAAGATATCTTTGATTTCTAAAAAATGGTTCATTTTCAATGGTGAGTATGTATGCAGCAGAAACAAGGAAGAAAATTAAAAACATTTATCACTTTTCAAAATAGAAAACGAAGATTTCTTTCTAATTTCTAAAGTAGAAATGGTACTATCGTGAATCGGGCACGTATGTAGCAAATATCAAAACAGTTCCTATATATGTTAACCTGAATATGCCTAGATATATTACGTTCTCTACAGTGTATGTAAAACGAAATGTGCTTATCATCAACTACGTAACTTGATTAAAACATGTATAGTGAAAGATGTTAACATTATATCTATCTGCGCTAATCCTATAAATATGTACATTAAACTAGTAAATTATGTTGATTAACGTTAACTTGTAAACATAGTTATCTAAAATAAATTAGTTGATATAGAGACTCCGTACTGCGAGAGATTAATCGTTCCTTGTTTTAACAAACAAGTTGAGGATCGTGCCCATTGGTTTGGCATTGCTAGTATTATATATGAAAGAAAAATGAATCAATACAACTACTCATTTTATCAAATGTTCGACGAGTCGGTTTTTCTTACAATTTATTATTATTTACAAAGATACAAATACTATAGGAAAATACTATACGAATCAAATTGCATGAATTAAGAATGGATCAGAGTGATGGGAGATCTCCAGGGGAACCTATTAACTAGGGAGCTGGTCTTCAACTGCCATTTTTCCCCAAATTTCCCACCCTAGCCTAGAGCTTAACCCTAGTTCCCCGGGAGCTGGTCGGCCATCCCACCAGCGCCCGGGCCTCTGGAATAACGGAACAATTGGCACGGCTTGGGTTATCAGCGTGGCTTGGGTTATTTATAGAATTCACATGCAAACTCAAATAAATCCGTTAGGATTCAAAAGTCTATCCAAAGGGTAAAAGGGGGGGGGGGCATGATACCCCTAGGTAGCTATGATCTCAGCGATCTAAAAAATCCTTGAATCGCTGATCGTAAAAGATCAACAAAATCACACATTGTTACACTAGTTATGAGCTTCCGATCGACATTGATAGCTTATGAGATCGTGCCGATTGGTTTGGCATAAGAGCTTGTGTCCCTGTTGACATTGATAGCTGATCCTTGTTGAAACATACGAGGTGAGATCGTATACATTGGTTTGGCATAAGAGCTTGTGTCTGTTTTGACATTGATAGCTGAGCTTTTGTCCGTGTTGACATTGATAGCTAAGCTTGTGTCCGTGTTGACATTTATAGCTGACGAGTTGTACCTGGATAAATAGAAGAAAGAAGGACAGAAATTGTTAGAATTTAATATTTTATAATTAAGCTTCAAAAACGACAATATTTTCCTCATTATTAGGGTTTAATCCTAAGTACATCTATTTGTACGGTATTTTAATATTTTTCAACAATGAGATATTGTAGTGTCAAAAATTGTGTAAACAACGATGTTTCGGGTTCAGAAATTTTTCATAACATACGAAAAGAGTGGATAGAACAAGTTATCTGGAAGACAATACACCTAATTTTTAAATGCAGTGAACATTTTGACAACAATTGTTCTAGAAACAAAAATCATATGGGCTTGTTTTCTTTGCTTGAATATTGAAGGCTTCACATCTACGAATTATGATCCCCCCAGGTAGAATTTCTGATCGGGTCATTGTGTACAGTGGCTGTACAACAAGAAGTCTAAAATTCCAGATGCCCCCTCTATTACTAATATCTCGATGTTCTGCACCGACTACGCAAAAATCCTTTCTGCTTCTGCCTCCGGGTTATTGTGAACGAAACCCACATATATCTTTAAAAGACGACATCTAGTGTCCTATCTGATATTTTAATTTATCTATGGATTAAAGCCACTCTTTAGGTTGTTTCTTAACGAGACTGTAGGAACGTCTAAAGAAAATATGAGAATACGAAACTATTTAAGAAAAACTACAATATCTTCCACATACTTGACCAGATAAAGGTTTCAAGGGTACCGTTGTGAATCGTGCATTGCAACCTTTGCATGGAGGGTCACTTGAAATTATGCTTTTAGTACCTTAATCTGTTAGAGCAATAGTTATACATAGAAATACATAGAACTAAATGTAAAAAGGGGGTTTCTTCTAAATTTCAACTTTTTATCAATACACCCAAACTTGTTGATTAATCATAATTTTTGTTCCAAAAAGCTGAACGTTACCAGGATGGAAAAGTGGTGAATGTGTTGTGTACAAGCTATGTACATATTCTAGTAGTTGAGATGAGTTCATCCTAGCTTGTACAACGGGTACCACCAGCAGTACGTACAATGCAAAATACATCCTTGAGATTCTGCAACTAAACCATAATATACATTTGCATAGTTCCTCTGTATATAATATATATCCAATAAACTATTCAACGGCTGAACCACATTTTTTGTTAGACTTCACATTTTTAGTGATTTGCAATAAGTTAGTTTGTTTTTACACCTTTCAAAGGTTCCACAAAAACTAACAAGTTTAACACTACACTATGCCAAATTTTGACCGTAAAAGAAAATATATGCAAAAAACGAGCCAATAGCGATTCAGAAACGAGCGTGTTAAAACAATTCTTTTTGGGTTTCTCCTTTTTCTCGTAGAATAAAAATATTGCAAAGTTTAAAAAAGCAAATTTTAACAAAATACAGTTTTAAAATGTTTAAAGTTTTAAAAAACGAACCAAAATATTTACAATTTAATGATCGGTACAAATTAAAAAGTTTGCCTCCATATCATTTATAACCCTGCAGTACTACAATTTACTAAAAATAACATTTTTTCTCTCTATTTTCGATGGCTCATCAAAAGTTTAAATTATAGGCTCGCGTATAAATAACCCGATCTAAATTCTTTTATATTCTCTGTGTAAGTTCTGTAAAGTACTTTCATAAACTAAAAGTATTTAGTCGTGAAACAGGACATGTAATGGACTCATTGATATTTCAATTTAGCAGAATATGAAATGTAAAGTGGTTACGCAGGGTGTTTCATAAAACAAGGCAGTTGGAAGACGAATAATATATTGTTTAGATAATTATGGAATATCACAAAATCAGAACTTTTGAATTGTGAATCTTAGGATCAAGCATTGATCTCCATCTTATGCAGACCGATCTATGCTTTGACAACGTATAGCTAATCAACCTTCAGGAGCATGCACTATAGTTTCAGTAAATATTTCCATTTACTGATAGCGCCGATTGAAGGATTTATATCTCTAACTGGTTAATTAGTATAGATAGAAAGATAGATGTTACCGCTATACTATTTCTATTGGTTCAGAATAGACAACAAACACATGACTAAACCCTTATTAGATCAGGCCCTGGAGTAATAGAACGCTCCATAAATCACAACAAAAATTTAGAGTTATGTTATGACTTTAGAAATGCCACTAAAAAATTTGCTTACGAAACTTATTGATCACACCTCAGACACGTTTTTAGTTTAAGATTTGTAAAACAATGAGTGCAATAGCCTATCAAATATCGTTTTTTTTTTATAGACAACCTTTAGTTTTTTGTCACCCATTTTAAATTACTTGTATATCTAAAATTTTTTTTCAGGTATGATTTTGAAAGTAAGATTTGGAGGGTTTTTATTATTTTGGTTTTTAACCAATTAAGCAGTGAAGAAGTCGTCTTATATTATCAGATTTAATTGTGCCTTTTAACTGTGGGTATAGAGTTACTCACAAAGGGCGAGACTGTAAAAACGACCGGAAACTCTTTAAATTTGACGATTCCGAGGTTAAATTAATTATATTTTATGGCTTATTCAATTGTAGGCAAACATTTTTTTATGTTAACCCGACCTGTATTTGCAATGCTAATGTTTAACTAAGACGACTTCTAAGTTGTTTATTAATTCCCATGTTAATTATGATACATCAAACCCTAGTTTAATTATTAAGCTTAGTTGTGAACAATTTTAGACCTGTAGCCAATGCAATTTATAAAGTTTCCCCCCCCCTTCTAAATGCCTAGCTACAGGCCTGAACAATTTCACAAGTAAGAACTGATGGAAGAAAACATTTAGTCTTTGCTCCTTGGATTTCACAATTTTGTAGATGTAACGATCCAAAAATCCAAAATTCTTGAATTTTTCTAAATGTTTTTCATAAACATTTTCGATAAGCACAGTACTAAATGGAAATGATTTTTCGCACCGGGTTACGCGATCTCCTCCTATAGATCGCAAACTCTCATGATCTTAAATGTGCATCTCTGTAAAATGCGGGAAAAAACAGAATTATTTCCTTTCTGTATATTTAATTTTAAATCGAAATGCTTTCCATAAGCATTAGCGACATCTATCACCAATGGGCGATTAACTGATAAAGTTATGCATTTTAAATATGCCAAAGTCTGGTCTCACGAGTTTATTGAAGAATGTCATCATTGCTATGCATTATAAATATGCCAAAGTCTGGTCTCACGAGTTTATTGAGCAATGTCGTCATTGCTATACATTATAAATATGCCAAAGTCTGATCTCACGAGTTTATTGAAGAAAGTCGTCATTGTTATGCATTTTAAATATGCCAAAGTCTGATCTCACGAGTTTATTGAAGAATGTCGTCATTGTTATGCATTATAAATATGCCAAAGTCTGATCTCACGAGTTTCTTGAAGAATGTCGTCATTGCTATACATTATAAATATGCCAAAGTCTGATCTCACGAGTTTATTGATGAATGTCGTCATTGTTATGCATAATAAATATGCCAAAATCTGATCTCACGAGTTTATTGAAGAATGTCGTCATAGTTATGCATTATAAATATGCCAAAGTCTGATCTCACGAGTTTATTGAAGAATGTCGTCATTGCTATGCATTATAAATGTGCCAAAGTCTGATCTCACGAGTTTATTGGAGAATGTCGTCATTGCTATGCATAATAAATATGCCAAAATCTGATCTCACGAGTTTATTGAAGAATGTCGTCATAGTTATGCATTATAAATATGCCAAAATTTTTATAGAAAAATTAGTTTACTCTTATTTGGTTACAATTTAATAACACATTAAATACACAAATGTAAATTCAGTGTATTACCATTCATATTCATATTTCATATTTTTATTCAACTACAAAGCACGAAATAATACAAATAAAAAAATCACAATTTACTATGTAGTTTGAACCCACCTAACCAGAGTAGGTTGTTTTAATTTGTTGGCCCACTACAAACGAATGAGAATTGCAGATAAAAACAATGTACATTGTACATTTTAAACATAATTACGAATGATGATAAATCAGGAAAAAGGTAAGGAGGAGGTGAGGGAGTATAAGGGAAAGGGAGGATACTCAGCGTAAGGGTTGGAACAGAGGGTAACATAAGTTATTAGAATCATGTTTATGAAATACAGGGTGAAGAAGATAGTAAAGACTAAGTTTATCCACATGATACACAGTTTTTTTACAGATATAATTTGCATTACCATTGTGATATATACAATATATATTATGTAATCTAATATTAACTTGTAAAACGGAAAATAAAAATATTTAGTCTTATAAATGTTTGGCCTGTAAATGTCACCTACAAATATATATTTATTCATTTTTAATCTTAATAAATTGTGACTCAAACAATTTTGTATTATCTCAAGCTTGAAAAGTGCTGAATTCTCAAAATTTCTTTCATTACCTTTCTAAAACAGAAATCCACAATTAACTTTTATATTTCTCAAAGAAATATTTATTTAATGATTTATTTTTAATTGATCAGACATCGCTCTTTCAATTAATGGTTATACTTGAAATTACAGAAATTTGACAGAAATTAAAACACTGAAGTGATTTTTGCCAAATTTAGACCCATAAACTGTGGAAAAGGAAGTGTTAGACTCAAACATAATAAATACACAGTAGTTTAAAAGCAAGGAACACACAGAGACTAATTTCAATTTATAAGTTGATTTTTAATTAAATACACAATAGGTTGCTTAATTGTCTTTCAGGGTGGAAATGGACTTTTGTTAAGAGATTGTTCCCCAATTAGAACAATAAAAAATAATTATTCAATTTTGTAGCAAGGTTCTTTACTTAGAGCGTTACCAACTTTGTCGGCCTTACTTTAATAATATTGGGTTCGGTTTGAACCAACAACTTTCTGTGCAAGATATTTTTCATAATAAAGTAAAGGAAAGTTTTTTAAAATATTTTATTACACAAATTCATCAAAAAATATTTTCAGTCATTCAAAATAAAAGAGGCAATTATACTTAAAAGCTATTCATATAAAGAAAGAGACTTTCGACTTGGAGACGACTGTAGGACTTCTATTTAGTCTTTTCATTTACATTTATGGTTTCCGTATTTACTGTATTTGTAAAATAACCAAAATAAACCTTCAGTTGGGGGACTCTTGTTATAATTCCTTTTTAAGCAGGGCATGGGCGACTTACAACGGTATTTTTATACCAGAAGATATTGCCATTTTGCTAGATTAAAGTGTAATTAATCCTGACAAATTTCTCCATAATTTTTTGGCATGGATATAAAATAGAAGCTTCTGGAATAGAAATGCAAATATCATGCATTATTGGTCAGGAGAAACTTTTAAGAGTAGATAGCGCAACACAATGTAAATGGAATTAACGTTTGCAGTCCCTTTAAAGTCTCATTCTAAACCATGTAATAGCTAGGTTAAATATATATAGCCATGTATATAGCTAGGTTATATATATAACGATGTAATAGCTTGGTTATATATATATATACAACCATGTATATAGCTAGGTTAAACAAATTAGGTTAAATCTACTAATATTGGAATGCACAATTTCCCTAAAATATTGTATGAAAATAAACGACACTTTTCTAAGCTTTCAAATATCAATCTTATTTCGAATTTTAAACAGAATTTAATAGAAGATTTTATCAGCAGAACAAATGTTTTAATACAAATGCTATGTTTGCAAAAGAATCGAAGAGACCAAAGAAGATTTTACAAACAAAGAATAAAAAGATTAAAAAGAGTAAAAGATATAATCAAACATAAAGAATGTCAAAAATCAGCGCGAATTAAACAGATGCTTAAAAATGCCCGTTTTTCATTGAACCTATATCTTTTTCACACTCCATAAAGCTTTTTTTTTTACTTTTTTTTAACATTACAAATAAATCTTTAATTTTTATTTCCAAAAGTTGTTAGTTCATCGTCGAAAAATACTAACAATCCACCACTAATTTAAATATAGTGTAAACAATAAATATGTAACTTTCCTTATCCTTTCCTTTCCTTTTCCTTTTATTTCTATTTTTATATTTTTTTATAATTGGGGGGAAATATTCCCACAACCTCTACTTTTAGAGGTTTTTAAATATTTTCTCCTGAAACACTTTATTTTGTATGTTTTTGTTATATTTCATAAATAGATAATTTTTTACTTTACTTTACAGCATGTAATAGCTAGGTTATATATATACAACCATGTAATAGCTAGGTTTAATCCATGTAATAGCTAGGTTATATATATAACCATGTAATAGCTAGGTTAAATATATATAGCCATGTATATAGCAAGGTTATATATATAACCATGTAATAGCTAGGTTATATATATATGACCATGTAAAAGCTAGGTTTTAATATACAACCATGTAATATCTAGGTTATATATACAACCATGTAATAGCTAGGTTATATATATAACCATGTATATAGCTAGGTTAAATATATATAACCATGTAATATCTAGGTTATATATATAACCATGAAATAGCTGGGTAATAAATTTAACCATGTAAGAGCTAGGTTATATATACAACCATGTAATAGCTAGGTTATATATATAAAACCTTGTAATAGCTGGGTAATAAATTTAACCATGTAATAGCTAGGTTATATATACAACCATGTAATAGCTAGGTTATATATATATATACCCATGTAATAGCTGGGTTATATATTTAACCATGTAATAGCTGGGTTATATATTTAACCATGTAATAGCTAGGTTATATACAACCATGTAATAGCTAGGTTATATATATAACCATGTAATAGCTGGGTAATAAATTTAACCATGTAATAGCTAGGTTATATATACAACCATGTTATAGCTAGGTTATATATATAACCATGTATATAGCTAGGTTAAATATATATAACCATGTAATATCTAGGTTGTATACATAACCATGTAATAGCTGGGTTATATATTTAAACATGTAATAGCTAGGTTATATATACAGCCATGTAATAGCTGGGTAATAAATTTAACCATGTAATAGCTAGGTTAAATTATAACCATGTAATAACTAGTTTATATATATATAACCATGTAATAGCTGGGTAATAAATTTAACCATGTAATAGCTAGGTTATATATATATAACCATGTAATAGCTGGGTAATAAATTTAACCATGTAATAGCTAGGTTAATTATACAACCATGTAATAGCTAGTTTATATATATATAACCATATAAAAGCTGAGTAATAAATTTAACCATGTAATAGCTAGGTTATATATACAACCATATAATAGCTAGTTTATATATATAACCATGTAATAGCTAGGTTATATATATAACCAATGTAATAGCTGGGTTATAAATTTAACCATGTAATAGCTAGTTCATATATATAAACATGTAATAGCTAGTTTATATATATAACCATGTAATAGCTAGGTTATATATATAACCATGTAATAGCAAGGTTATATATACAACCATGTAATAGCTAGGTTATATATACAACCATGTAATAGCTAGGTTATATATACAACCATGTAATAGCTAGGTTATATATACAACCATGTAATAGCTAGGTTATATATATAACCATGTAATAGCTAGGTTATATATAAAACCATGTAATAGCAAGGTTATATATACAACCATGTAATAGCTAGGTTATATATACAACCATGTAATAGCTAAGTTATATAAGGCTGCAAAGTAGATATAATTGTTTCCAAGATAAAAATAAAAGTGGAGAAGAGAATACCAACACCTATCACAACAAACAGGAAAACTGTACTCTAAAAATAAACAAAACTGTAAAATCAAAACTGTTTGTAATGCTATGAATAAACAGTACAGAAATACACATTTTCATAAAAGTATTTTAACAAAATTCTAAATTTAACAATTCTATAATTTGAAAACAGTTATGGCAGTAGAAGTATACAATTCCGTTTACTGTTGATCAATGCTTTCAGGATTATGATTGGATGATGAGATAGACAGATACAATTTTAAAATGCGTAATTTCTAGTGACCCTCTATTTGTAGAGTGACATGTTCTATTCACATCATGTGCACAGTACCCATCTAACCATTTACTGATTAAGGATGACGGACTTATGCTTATATTTCTCAAATGAAGCGTTTCTAGTTATTGAACCATTTGTTTGAAAGCTGTTTTATATTCATGTAACGTTAATCGTTTTTTTTAAGAAGTCGCAGACAAAATATTTGCATTCAAAATCTTTAAAACTACACATGTTGGACTTAGAGAATATTCGAGAATATTAAAGTATATAAGTAATATCAGCTGCATCGTAGGCAATTTTAACATTATTTTAGAACTAAACCAGGGAGTTCTTTATCCTCGATAATCAGTCAAAAGTTTAAGGGGTACCATTGTTAATCGGGATTCCCCTCTTTGCAAGAAAGAGAGTCACTTAAAAAAACGTCAAAAAACCTAGACTGTTTAAAAGTTGAAATTAGAACGATGCCAATATTATCCTACCTGGAACCCCAGTATTAGACTAGAATTCTATCCTACCTGGAACCCTAGTATTAGACTAGAATTCTATCCTACCTGGAACCCCAGTATTAGACTAGAATTCTTTCCTATTGGAACCCTAGTATTAGACTAGAATTCTTTCCTATTGGAACCCTATATTAGACTAGAATTCTTTCCTATTGGAACCCTAGTATTAGACTAGAATTCTTTCCTATTGGAACCCTAATAGTATTAGACTAGAATTCTTTCCTATTGGAACCCTAGTATTAGACTAGAATTCTTTCCTATTGGAACCCTAGTATTAGACTAGAATTCTATCCTATCTGGAATCAAGCATTAGATTATAATTCTATCCTACCTGGAACCCTAGTATTAGACTAGAATTTTATCCTATCTGGAACTCAAGAATTAGATTAGAATTCTATCCTACCTAGAACCCATGTATTAGATTAGAATTCTGTCCTACCTGGAACCCAAGTGTTAGATTAGAATTCTATCCTTCCTGGAACCCAAGTATTAGATTAAAATTCTATTCTACCTGGAACCCAAGTATTAGATTAGAATTCTATCCTACCTGGAACCCAAGTATTAGATTAGAATTATTACAAGTAGCAGATTCAAGAGTTCCCCTAAAATTCAAACAAATAATATCTATTTATTCAATTAGATTATTAAGTAAAATAAGTATATACAACGGTGACACTGAGCCCAAAACTGAAGACAGGGTATGGTACACAAGTTTCGAAAACCAGGTTTCTGAAATGGGGTCTGGCAATAGTGTAGACATCTCAACATTAAGTTTTGTAGCTGTTTTAAATTATCTTTTTTTATTTTTTATTTCTTAATGTAACTCTAAACAAATGCACAGATCCCAAAAAGGAAACTTGTGTGGAGTTTTGTTCAACAATAATCTTTTAAATTTTCAGTTCTAGTTTATACATATTTATCAAAACAGCAGTATTTATGGCACATGGTGACAATCAAATGTTCATTGTCAGACAGAATATTCAATAATGGTGATAAATTTAGACTATCAAGTGTTTTCAGTGAAACTAGTTTATTTCTATTCTTTTCTTATTCTTTTTTTATTTAATACCACTAAAAAACGGGTTAGAACTGTGTCATATTTGACACCAATGACGTCATCATTCATTACTTGGCCAATATCTCATTGTGACCTATTGTACTTGATAATCTTAATAAAATCTATATACTTTCGACCAGGACTGGGTACATTATAGAAAATTAACAGTAAAATGCGGTTAAACTAAAAAACTGTTAATTTTGAAATTGCTTACAAACTAAAATGAATGTTCATGAAAAATAATGAAATATTGATTGGATGTATTTTGTAAATAAACAATGGCGACTATTGTGGCTTAAGATTACATGAAACTGACAGTAAATAAGTATGAGTTGTTGAGTGTTTTGAATGCTTTTTCCCACTCAGGTGATATTTTTACATTATTCAATACATTTTATTGTAATTTAATACATAAAATAACAGTTTCTAAAATATTGAACATTGACACTGTTAATACAATATTAATAATAAATTGTAACTTTAAGAAAAAACAGAAAAACTGATAATTTAACAGAACATTCAGTAATTAGCTAAGAACAAACTGCTACCTGAAAATTTTGACACCTATTTTTTTCAGTGCTATAATGTTTTAGCAGAATTTAAGAATTAAGAATTTATTGGAAAGTTAAAAATCTTTTGTCCTGAGCTTTTGATTTATGCCAGGGTTTGTGCCAAAATAAAATGCAATGGAATATTTGTGTAACTACTTATTTTGATAAAATGTAGTTATTTCACAAAAAAAGCTTTTAGTAACGCAGAAATAGCGAATTAAATACTAAGAGAAAATGTGAAAATAAAGAGAAGGGGCTTTATTTTTAACTAAAATTTGCTTTTATTTTTTTCCTCAAAAAATAACACATTTACCTTTTACTCTTTTTTATGATTGTATCAACAACTCCAGCTTCTTTCAGTATTTGTAATTGCTTTCTGAAAAAAAATTAAGCTCTTAGTAAATATTAAGTCTTTAGGGACTATACCAGAATAAATAACAATAATCATAACAAAAATAATAATAATAATAATAATAATATCAATAACAATAACAGTAATAATAATAATAACAACATTAATAAAACAATAACAATAACAATAATACTTCATAACAATAATAACAATAATATTTTTAGTTAAAAATGTTTATCTAGAAAATCAGAATTTCAGGGAAAACAGCTATTCTTATGAACAAATTAAACCTACTGATTGTTATATTTAAATAATTTTGTATTGTCATTAACACCTCATCTGTTAAAAACTGAGTAGCTTCTGGTTATTTTTTTAGACATTTTACAAGCAATACTAAAGAATAATATTTTGTAATATTTACTTGAATAAAGCGGTGAATGGTGAATTTTTACGAAGATAAACTCCAGTTTGTGATGGTAAAGAAGCATCAACTGCTATCCTAGCAACCTCACATGGGTATTCAGCTAGAATATAACAGTTATAATTGAAGTAACTGCTAAATAAAACTGCTTTAACTGTTATTAATGACAGTAATAGCTTAAAAAACACTGTTATAACTGATAACCTAGTCATTTAATTTAAATTTTTAAGTTATAATGTACAGCTTCTAATGTAACAATGTAACAAAAAAAAGTTTGTACTGATCATGTTACATTTTTACTTATTTTTTGTTAATCTTTAAATTAGGAAAAATTTATGATTTTCTAATTTTTAAAAATATTTTAAAGAACATTTTATCCTTGCACGACTTTACAAATAAAAATAACTGCAAAATAAAGACAACTTTTGTTTAAACTTAAATGGTTTTTAAACGTTTCTTGTTACCCATAAACTTCTCCGCTTCATCTCCATAACCAAGCACAAGATAGTTATTCTGAAACAAATTTAGTTTTAAGCTATAAAGATGTAATCTCTAATGACCATACATCTGTAAAATGATCTATCTGATACATACAAGCTCTGCACTCATGCTTTTTGGCACTCAAGTCAGACAAAAAAATCATCCTTGTTTAGACAAAGGTTTGAAGGGCATAATTGTAAATCAGACATGCCCAAGTAGTATCTCCGCCTCACAATATGATTAGATAGATGTTTTGCTGATTGGTCCCCTGTTTGGCAAAGAAGGTCTATAAAAATTGTCTTTTTAAAAAAATGTTTTTTCTACATTGAATAAAAAATCAAACCCACTTTAATAAAAGATGATTACCTGCATTTTTTAAATTTAATTGCAGCCCAAAACTGTTTGTTTTGCCATTTTCAGACTAGGTTTCTTCCTTTAATGCAAACAATCACACATTTTGACCTATTTTCTGTGCATTTATATCTTACAGTTTAGGAAAGTCAAAAGGACAAAATTTAAAAATAATTTTTTTCAAAGGGGAACTGTCAGCAAATCATATATTAAACCATATGGTGAAGCAGGACTGGTTGATTCCTGCAATATATGTTATTTCAATATTCACTGTGATCTTGCCCAGCTACATAAAACAAGCTGGATTGACTCTATGCTGGGTAGCCTGACTGGATGGTACAACTGACTGAATGCATATTGTTATATACAGTACATGTTGTACCAGCGGGGATCATATGCAACTTTTAGATTGAAGTGTGTTCCCTATCCATGACACTCAACAATTGGAGACCTACTTCAGTTTACACTCCCCTTGAGTGATAATAATAATTCGTGTTTTAGATTTTTAGTTTTTCTATAAATTTATGTTTCCTTGTACTTGTCAAAACAAAGAATAACAAGCTTATACTATTTCTGTTCTTACTCGTAAAGCTTTCAAAATATTGTCTCTATCTCCCTCTGACCAGTTTACCAGTCCATATTCTTGATCAGCTACCTAATAATATTAATAATAAACAAATGTTTTTTATTTTAATTAATTTTACTTGTTTCTTCAAAAAAATCTATTCAACTTTTATTTAACTTTCGTGGTAACTATTGATAATATTAATAGCTGTATGTTATATCTGTTTTATCTTAAACTCTGAAAAAGTAAGTTTATTGTTTATTCATTAGAAAAGATAAAAAAAACTACCTTTTCACTCCACAATCGCTGAAAAACTGCCTAAATAGCCTTAATTCTTTAAATTTATCACTGATATGGAATAAAATATTTTTATAAAAACAAGAAAAATAAAATATTATCAGATTAAAACCAATTACAGGCAAAATATGCATAAAATTATTAATTATTCTTTGCTGTATAGTGGTCATAAGCTAATACCCTTTATATGAAAGCATTAAAGTTATAAATTCAAAACTTGAAAATAGTAAAATTAATAAAACAATGCTTGACTATCCTGATCTGAAAATTGTAGTTTAGATACAAATGAGGAACCAGATGGAAGTGAAAGTTTCATATCCGTATCTTATAAAAATATATCAAGATCTTAGAAAGTAAGAAATATAATATTTTTTACAAATATCTATTTACATTTTTAAGCAAAAAATTTTAATTTACCAAGTATATCTTCCATTCTTTGGATTGGTAGCTTTGCAGTTTTACTACAAGAAAATAAAAATAATTTAAATACTTTGGTAGGCAACTCTATCAATTTAATGAAAAAGACTTTTTATTTAAGTTTTCATAGCTAATAAACTCTTTTCAAATTAGAAGTTTACAACAAATTAAAGAGAAACTTTATTATATCTCTTTGTTTCCAAGTTTAATTGCATCAATGCTGTTTAAAATCTTGATATAAATAAAAGTTGAAAAGTTGTTTTCATTATATTGATATAATTGCCTACCACCAAATTAAAACAATGTTATCAATTTCCTCATTTTTGCTTAGACAAAGGTTTAAGAGCAACCATTATCAATCTCTAGTAATGGAAGGTCAATTGAAATTACAATAAGAAGAAATTATAATTCTAACTATACAAATAGTAAACCAAGTGATCAAGAAACAAATGTATTAAAAAAACCAGGCAAATATCAAATAAATGTAGTTCAAACAAACCTACCTACACAGAATGTAATTATGAAATGTTGAATGGAAGGGATCAAATATTCTATCTAACTTTGTATGTTCAAATTTATTATTTATTGTTCAATTTTGCCTGGTAAGATATGATGTTAGTTCTGCCTTATAAGTTTCCACAACAAAGAACCCAAGAACTAGATAGGTCAGCATACATATTCTCCAGACTTTCTTAAACCTTAAACAAGAACTAGATAGGTCAGCATGCATATTCTCCAGACTTTCTGAAACCTTAAACAAGAACTTGATAGGTTAGCATGCATATTCTCCAGACTTTATTGAACCTTAAACAAGAACTAGATAGGTTAGCATACATACTATCTAGGCTTTCTTAAACCTTTAACAAGATTTAGATAATAAACCAATAAACCTTTAATATCAAAAACAATAAAGCTAGGTAGTGTACTTGTGTTTAATTCAAAAATTGTCTTAAAAACTAAAAAATCTGAAAAATAAAAAATTTGAATTAGGTTTGTTGATAAATAAATAATGGATGTATGGATATTAGGAAGAAGAAAAGGGTCCTAAAAACTTAGTATTTCAATTTGATTGTAATTTTTAAAATTCCTGAACATATTTTTTCATGGTTTTTCTTTTATTATTATGATTTATTTATATAATTTATATATTTTATATGTTTTATGAATTATAACTTGTTCAGATATTAGATTAGAGAGATAAGATTTGTCTATAATTCAATTTATACATAAGTTGAATTGCCAAAGTAAATAGGCAAACCTGAGTTCAGGCAAAAGGAAGGTCTCAACAGCTCCTAAAGTTCTCATAGAGAAGCTCAGTATGTCAGAAACCCCTTCCTACATATAAATATAAATATAATTAAATACATAAATAATTAGCAGCGGTATTTATTTTTGAGAGCTTTCCCCCTACTTTGGTTATGGGAACTCTAATTCACTTAATTTCCTTTTTTCTCCAAAAACTCAAATTAACCAGATTTTGTTGAAGGTTAGTGGTTACAAAAGTTGTAATATATGTATATTCTTTGAACACAAAACCATACAATATATTAAATATAGGATATATAAAATTTAAACATATGAAAGATACCAATTAAAAATTTGGTCACAAAACAGATAGTAAATGTGTGAAATTATTTATCCCTTTCAACACTTAATTTTATTAGATCTTACAGATAATTTTTCAGTAGTTGTTATTTGTTATATTTTTGGATTACATTAACAATCTTTTGATCTTTTGCATTGTTGAAGATATATTTAAAAATAGTTGTCATTTAACAATTCTGACAAGCATTAGTAAAGGTTGATAATTACCTGAGCTTTCTTGTATGAGATGCAGGATAGAATAAAGAGAAAAATAGTAAGACCTGCTGCTGAGCATAAAACACACATCCAAATAATCTAAAAACATAGTCAATGTATTACATTGTGAACCAGTAGGAATTTTTTAGGTTTACCGGTTTTAATGGTTTAAAATAGGCCATTAACTCCAAATCAGTCCCAGGTTTGGCCATGACACAAAATGTTGACTGAAGAAGAATACTTCCACCAAAATCTGCAACCTGGAATACCAAAATCCAATTTTCTAGAAACGATCTAAAACTGCAATAAATTCAAATTATATTATATTAATATTACTTGGGATGGATGGCTTGAGCTGAAAACTTTAGAATGGTGGATATCAAGATCAAGTTTAATATTCAACCAATCAGCATTGTTAAGATGCGCTCTTTAACTTTTGAAAAACAGGGTTTTTTTTAGCACATTTCTGGTGTTTATGGTTCATATCAATTGAATGAAAGTAAGTTTTGGATAAATGTTTATTTAGACTAACATTCAAATTAGTCCTCAAATGTGATAAAAGATGCTTTTTAATGAGTTCATATTAACATGATAAAAATTATATTTGTTTAAATGCTCTAAAAGCCTGCTTGTGAACAGCTGACTTTAGTTCAATCAGATATTAGTCCAATTGATATAGCATCATATCTGTAATTGATATCGAAAGTAACTTTTATACAGTAGGAAAAAAAAGGATTCAGAAGAAAATCAAAAGTGTTTCCATTGGATACTCAGATTAAGTAATGAGGATTAAGGATTTCTTATTCTAAAGTTTTCAGATCAGAGTCTAAAACTAAAGAACGAAAAGTTTTGACTTAAATTTTAAGTTCATGGTTAAATGCCACTTCTGACTTAATTTAAACCTGAACTTTAACCGTGAGGTTAAATATTTAACCCTGTGGTTAAATATTTAACTCGCCGAAATCGATGAGTTAAAATTTAAACACAGGTTTAAAATCTTGAAATCCTGCATTTTCCCTATTTGTCTATTATTCAATCATCATTCAGCTGCAGCTGAGAAAGCGGCATTCAACTTAACGATATATTTAAAAGTGAAAACCTTGTTAAAAAAATTTCACGTTTTAGATAAATTAATTTTTGGATGTAAACCCCAAAAACGGTTTTGTTTTCAGTAACGTAAGAACAGCTGATTAGCGATGGTTATGTAATATTCTCCGTAAATCCTTTTCTCTGATTGGTTCAGATTTTTACCGGGAAATTCAAATTTAAAATTGAGTAAGTTTAATATTTAAGTGGCTATTCATTATTTTACAGAACTTTTAACCTCGAACTTAAAATTCGCGCATTCTTTAGTTTTAAACTCAGGTAATATTTTTGCATCTTAAATCTGTGGGCTTTACCTTAGACACTAAATAAGCCTTTTAATAATTTCTTTGCAGATTAGAGTTGATCATAAGTCTTAACTGCCAACTTAACCAACCTGGTTTCTATCTAATGTAACAAAAAGATCTGCCACAGCAACATCCACCTCTCCTCTTTCTAACATTCCCACCAATCCATTGTATAGGGAAGTTTTTCCCTCGTATTTTACTCCACCAGGAACCTATCAGATGTTTTCTACAAGTCCTACAATACAGCTACAGAAATGGAAATTTTTGATTGCTAAATCCATTAAGAAATTGTTAAACACCGTATAAAGGTTCATCTTCTATTGTTCTTAAATTCACAATTACATCCAACCAAACTACCCCAAGAAATTTTAAATAGAAATTGATTATTGATAAAATTACCATTTATTTAAGAATTATGTTCAGAAGTTCTTACTTTAGATCCAAAAAACCCATCGATTGATGGAACAGGCTTATATGTAAAGTTCATAATTTTGCTCATTGTGTCAAATGTTGCTCCAATTCCTCCTTCAAGTTTGTCATCCTTTATCCTATCGAGTAATTTAGAGAAAACATGTGTTAAAAAATGTGAGTTTTGAGAATTCTGGTTTAATGAATGTTTACTTGACCAAAGCAGATGAAGGAGGATAGCCTGCAGTCAATGTTATGCCATGCAAATCAATTCTTTAAAGATACATGAAGCTCAATCTTATCTAAATATCAAGTACACAATTCTTCAAATTCAAGTTAGCTAAAGTATTCCATTGAATTGAAAGGTTTTTGAAAACTTCCCTGTTATCTTCTGTAGGTGGTGTTATTGGTAACTGGAAGGCCACAATGTCGGAAACTGACTAAATAAAAGAAGAAATTCAATTGTTCTCTAATTTAATGGCAAATATTTACCTGCTTTACCTTAAAAGTTTTGATTTCATACAGTTCAGCATTGTTTTTAACCAGAAACTTTTTGTTTCCTTGTCCTTCCATAATAAACCTTAAACGCATGAGATCAAAGGTTGATATTAAATGATATTAAAAAGTCAAAAATCTAGAACATATGAATCTCATATCCACAGTAATAAATAAACACCAAAGACCGATTATATTTAATCAAAGAATCGCTCATATCTAACAAAAAAAATCACATATTTGACCATCATATAACTTTTTTAATTTTTGATTTCGTAATTTAGGGAGTGTTTTACTTTATTATTTAGATGAAGATTACATGTACTTTCCTGAGAAATGATCAATAGCTTTGGGGCTTTAGATTGGTTGGACACAAATAGATGTGGATTAATGCATTCTGATGAGATTAATAATATGAAAGCTGCAAACTCATGAAAAATCAATCAAGTTCAAATTCCTTAAACAGTGAGACATAGTTGCACCAATTATGTGTTGTAAAACTATATCTCAAGAGAACTCTATCAGCCACTTCAAAGCTTTTAATCTATCTGACATCAAGGATAATAAGATTTTTTTTACCTGGGAACAAACCATTCTTGAGATGTGTCAAAAATGGCAAAGGCCTCATTAACATTTATCTTTTCCTGATAACATACAACAGTTTAAAGAGTGTTGTTATTGCAGAAGAGAACAAAAGAAAGATAATTTTCTACTTTATTTTGACGGTTAATGTGTTATATTTATCTATTTCATAAATCTCAAAACAGCTTAAATTTGTTTGGGACCTCACAAGACTCTACAGGTAGCTTGTTGCAAGTCAAGATCAAAAATATCACTGCAACAAATTTTGATATCTAGAATTTCAAAAAATTCTTTTAGAAAACTGAAAAATCTTTGCCTAGTTTTTATGTACTAGAATATCTGTGGTAAAAATTGTTACAACCAAAGATGTTTTACCTGAATTGGAATTTGGCAAAAAAATATTGTTGAATCATCTAATTTCATTGAGGACAAATTCTAAATAGGGTTAAGGGGTTAAACGATGAAAGTTAATGTTCCAAAAGAACAGGTAGCATAGCCCCTTGATTAACCTCAATCCTTAATTCAGAGGGTTGTTTTGCTCCAATATTGAATGAAATGTTAAGGTGAAAGGGAAACCCATAGTGAAATAGCCTTTAATCTTGATGAAATGTAAACCTGCAGTAGCAGACTTTGTAAACATTTTTACTTTTTATGAAATGGAAACTGGAATTTTTCTGGTTTCCATTCTGTAAACCAGAAAAATATCTGGGCTATGTAACATAAATTGTAAACATTCTAGTTTCTATTTGATCTGTAGTTATTCCAGAATTCCACTTTACAGATCAAATATACGAATCATTCCATTTCCAAAATGGAATTTTTTTTCGGAATAATGGAAGCCCTAGATACATATCTCTGAAATTTTTTTAAGTTACTATTTACCCCCAGATGTTTGATATTTAGATGTGGTAGTGTTGTGTAAAGCATATCTAGAGCACCAGCAATTAGTTCATCGCTCTCATCACAGAGAACCAAGTTCATTACTATAAAATAAAACATGTTTAAAGGAATTAAAACTGTTTAAAATGATAATCACAGGTTTTTGTAACTTTTTTCATCTGAACAATATAATTCATTCCAAGATATCCCTTTGTCAGATGTCAGCAGGAGTAAATAAAAGTTATGGAATTCTGCAATAATTCCCCAAATTTAAAAATGGATATCAAGATTAAGTATTGAAGATGATCATTAACTCAAAGTGTTGACCTGTGCACTGTGCAGCACAGGCTGTGCTTTTGTTTTCCAAAAGGATAAAAACACAGGGCTAGGTGGCTGGTTGAGGGAGTGGGGTGGATGGGACAAGAACAGCTTATCATTTTTTACAAGCCTTTACCTGGTTTAAGGAGTGCAGGTTGTTGGCTAACTAGATTATCTATGAACTTCAGTACTTGAGAAGAGTTAAACTTAGCCAGGTTAGAGGAAACCAACACAGAGAGGAACATCAGGAGATTTAGGCTTCTCATTATATCATTGGTTACTCTAAGATATTTTATTTGATCTACCAAGAGAAACCCATAGATATTTCATTGAGCCCATTTCTAATGTTCCTCATATTAAAACAGTTTTATGCACTCATTTTGTACAATTTGTGACCAGTTTATCAAATTGTCATAAGCTATGTATTCGACATTTAGTAGATCTAAGTAAACAGGATTTAAGAACTGTTTTATGTAAAAATCTTGAATCTATTGCACAAGATTGTAATGTACAATCTAGAAATCTAAACAAATTTTGCCTGAAACAAAATATGATATACAATCATATTTCTTTAGACCAAGAATGGAAATTACCCATTCTTCATGAATTACTTAAAGTAAAAGAAGATAATTTTGTTCTAAACAACTTTGATGATAATGAGATCAACTTTTTACGTTCCGACTAAAAACTATATTTATCTATTATACTTTATTCTTGTTTTTGTCTTATCATATTGTACCATTTTACCTCTGTGTACGAAATAAATCTATAATAATAATAATTTATTTTTATATATTGCAGGAGCACTTTAACTCAGTATTTTTAAACCCCAGTTTTTGGTATATGCTTTTATTCTCAGAATTTTGTATAGCAAACTAACTTTTTCAAAATGCAATTTTTTTCTACTAATAGTGAGGAAATTCTTCTAAATAGTAAGAATTTAAAACCCATTTTTGCCTTGTCCTATCAAAACACACCTTCCTGTTATATTCTACAACCATTTTATGTGAGTACTAAAAAGATGGGTTTTAACAATTACTCCTTCATATATAAAATTAACGTTTTGCTCATAATGTTCAGACGCTACTGTTAGCTCACTCTTCAAGAATACTGGAGGACACAATATTGACTTATTTATTGAGAATTGCAAACTTAAAGAGTTTGTTATTTCAGAACTTTGCCTTCCAAGAAAATATTGAGTCAATGCTTTAAAAACAAGTCAGCTTAATAATATACAGAATCATGAATAATTGTTTTATTTTTGTTCATTGATGTCCTCATAAACATGAACTATCATGCATACAGGGTTTCTCATAGTACAAATTGTAGGCTAAGTAATAAAGACTACTCAGCACACTTTGTTTGATAAAGTGCCCCTTTATTTAAGGAGTGACAAATTGTATGTATTTAAGGATACTGTTGTGAATTAGACATTCCTCTGGAGCAATTGAGAGTTCTTCTAGACTTAAATTGTTGAGACACATGTTATTAAATGACCCTCTATTTAATAAGAAATCATGAATATCTCATTTTTAGTTCCTGATCAGAAAACCCTTTTAACCCTATCCCTGCTGGGGTACTTGAAATCCAGAATATGCTAATCCCAAGTTTAATAAATGATACACCATTAGAAGGTTTTTATGCTCTACTTTAAGAATCTGCCATAAAATAAGCAATTTTGCAAAAATTGATTTTTCTTTTGCAAAATCAAGTTATAAAGTAAAAACGTTTGCAAAAAGAAAATGTTCAATAAATGAAAAATATACATTTTTGAAAAGCAATTGACCATGCCAATTTAAATATGCCAAAAAAGTTTGCAATGTTTTAAATAACCTGATGTGTATTTAAGAAAAATAATTTGCAGAAAAAATCTGTGCAAAACTTGTGAAATCCATTTCCTTATGCCATACGCTTTCCAGAAAGCTAAAAATTATCAAAATCTGACAACTGAAAGTGGGTCAAAATGAAGATTTAGTTTGTTACAGGAAAAGACATACATACATACAGTTAATATAAAAGCCNGTAAAACTATCATTCCCCCCAACAGGAATATGGTTAAGGGAACATTTGTGAGTCAGACTTGGCACTTTTTGGATGGAGGGCACCTTCAAATTAGGGTTACACTCCCTTTTAAAATTTATATTTTTAAGGAAATAAACATTCAAAACAAGATGTTCACTTGAAAACAATCATATATCTTCATATTTAATGCAAAATGAGTGAGGGAAAAAAAAAGGTTGGATGAGAATTGGGAATAGAAGTTTAGTAAATTGTTAAAGTTTTATTGAGAGAATAGTCAAATTCCTAGAAGATGTTGATTGAAAAGAAAGAATATAAAATGGAAAAAATAATTCAAATTTTTCTTCTTGAAAATCTTTTCTATTGTTAAATCAGGATGAATGAGATTGATTAAATATTAAATATATATGAAAGATGTTCAAAACTATATTTTAATCTGTAGATTAACAAAAGGGGCCCTATCAACTCTAGAACAGTGAGACAACTATTTTAGGCTCAAGGATTTAAGATAGTCTAATGAATGTCAATTATGTAATTGTGAACATGTACGTTCAGTGTACACAAACCAATTTCACTTTTTAAATTGATTTTTAAGCTACAGGTAAATTATATGTATTATTACAGATAAATTATATGTATTATTACAGGTAAATTATATATGTTATTACAAGTAAATTATATATATATATATATTTTTACAGGTAAATTTAGATATATTTTACAGGTAAATTATATATATTATTACAGGTAAAAAAATTTTCCCAATGACAACGTTAGTTACACATAAAACAGCTTCACTGTAATCTTCCTATTTCCAAAGTTGTATGGTTCCCAATGGTGTTCACAATTATAAGCATGCATAAAATGTAGGAAAAATTAGATCTTTTTATATTTAATTAGCCTGTTCATTTTATTCATCTTATCAAATTTTAATACTGTGTTAAAAAAAATTATTAAATGCACTTAATAAAGCAAAAAATACTTTGAAACTCTTTATTTTACTTTTTAGACTGACAATAGATGTTCTTGTATAATAATTCAAGAATGAAGACGACAATACTTGCTCCAGCCCCTAACACCATACACACAAACAGAAACACTGTATTCTAAACAAATAAAGGAAAAGTATAAAAAGCTAAGAAAACATTAAAAGGAGTGTTTAAGTAATCTCAAGTGCCCTTTCATTAATAAAGTGGCATGTCTTTAAAATATTGTGTATTCTAGCTAGGGTTTCTAATTGGAATTCCGTTGCAAGCAATTAGGCCAATTTTTGTTGCATTTATTGTGCTCAAGTATGACTGAATTGCACGGAATTAAATTTACTTGCGCGCAAGGGCTTGCAATTGCACGTAAGTAAAATCAACTTGCGTTGGAAACCATAATTCTAGCAGAACATTTGATTTTGTTTCAAGTGTAACTTCAGGATTTATTCTGCAGAGACAATGAAGATAATTGTTAAATTTTTGCTAATCTTTCATCACACTGATTCAACAGTAATCTAGACATAATTCTGAAAACAATACAAATGCCCAAAATAACTTAATATAGGGATGAAATCAAAAACTGAAAACACATTTTGAAAGAAGAAGAAATATTAAGTATTGAATTTAAATATTGACTTTTTAAAATTCTGAGTACATTCATGATTTATAATACTTTTTGTCTAAATATTTGAAAAACAAAAACTTATAAATACCAAAATTAAATTAACTTAGAAAGCGCTGTTGCAACATCATCAAAACTATTAAAGACAAATTAAAAGCTCTAATATAGAAACCTTGAAGTTGAGTGTTAGTTCAGCAATGAGTCCACATGTTCGAGATTCTCTTTTCCTATAATATGCATACATACATACATACTTACATAATATGTATCTATTATATAAACAAGATAAATTGTCCATCATTAAATTTTATCATAAATATATCTTGTTTCCTAAAAAAAATGTATTCTAAAAGACATATTTTGAATTTTTTTGTTTACTAATTATTTTTCAAATATAAATATCTAAAAAACTATAACTTTTTAGTCTAAAATTTTTTTTTCGTATTCAACCTGTCATTATTTTTTATAATAGTATCCACTACTCCTGTTTCATGCATTTGCTGCAGCTCATATCTGAAAATGTCAAAATTAAATTTTTTATTACTATTCCAAAATAATGCTCTAAAAAATTTTGATATTTTTTCGATCTTCTTGATGGTTTATTTAATTAAAGTTAACAGATCTGTTACGTTACTGCCATTCATTTATTGTCAATAATGACTTTATATTAATCATTTACTCTCAGCAAATAGAATCCCCTGAGTTATTCAATGATAAATCTGAGGCGGTTGCAGTAAGGGTTTTTTCATTGAATCTCATACAAATATTAACTTTTTTTGAAGGAATATAGGTTCAATTCAATTAATGCGCTGAAACTTATTTTAATTTTTAAACAAAGTTTCCAGTTGATTTTTAAAACTTCCATTCTTCAATGGAACTTTGCTTTGTCCCTTGTATACTTGTACTTTATTGAAAAAAAATTGTAAAATGTAATATATTTATGCAGTAGTGTATTATTCCATTGTGAGTAAATCATTTGACTAAAAAACATTTAATATTTCCTGAAGAAATTCAAAATATGATATAATTCATAAATTGATTTACATTTTTATTTGATAACCTCTACTCTAATAATTGGATTTTTTAAAAGAATTAATAATTTTTCCAATTATCTTCTATTCACAACTAGAATTAAGGAGATAATCTAATTAAATTATGATTTATCTTTTGTACAATGGCATTCTAAAATTTAAATATTTTTTGATGTTTAAAGGAAATAACTTTTGATTTGAGTAAATTGAGACCCCTTCTTTGTCAGATAACACCAATGTTTTCTGGGGTCTCCAATAAAAATTGGGGATTTAAAATAAAAGTTTGGGTTCTCCAATAAAAATTTGGGGTCTTCAATCTAAAACTTTGGGTCTCCAATGAAAATAAATCATAAAAATGTGGGGTCTCAAATGAAAATGTGGGATTTCTTATGAAAAGCATTGGGGCTCCAATGAAAATGTGAGATTTTGGTTAAAAAGCTTGTAGTCTCATCAATGAAAATTTTGGGGTGTCCAGTGAGACAGGGTGTCTATATTGATTTCTTCCTGAAAATAACATTAATTACACTTAATTATTGTTTTAATAATATCTTCCTATTTTACACTTGTCTGGTTCTCACTGTAGGAAATATATAAAAGATAAAAACATGATAAAATGATAATACTAACTGGAATAGATTAAGGAACTTCACATTCTTCTGAAGGAAAAGTCCAATCTGAATTGGAAATATCAAATCCTTAGGAACCCTCTCTGCCTCACAGGGATGTCTGTCTAAAGATTTTATTTTAATCTAGTATTTAAAAATAGAGCTGGGAACAATTAGACTTTGTTCAAATAGTTTGTTAACAGCTAGTTAAAATAACAGAATGGACCAACTTTTTAGAAAGATGTTGGTTCTTAGCTATCTGAACTGAAAGCTACCTTTGTTCAAGGATTTAATGCAAGGAAAGTTATTTCAGAGGTGATATACTCTGCGTACATATTGAAACCAGTTCTCTCTGGGCGGAATTGTAAACAATGCATCAGTGTTTGTTAAGTATCCTAGGAGGTTAAAAGCATTAAATTTTGATAATTTTGATAATTCATATAATAGTTTCTTATGACCACAATATTTAATTGATTTTTTTATGTGAAAGATAGATCCCATGTAAGGCTTCGACACCCGTTTTGTGTTTACATTACCGCCCAGAGACAGTACACTGCAGATTTGTACACCTCTGAAATAACTTTCCTTGCATTACAACCTTGTATATTAATAATGCCCATACTTATGAAATCAAGAGCATCATTTCCAAAGTTTGCAATCACATACTTTTTCTAAAAATAAAATAGCTGTCTTATATTTTCATGTAACATTAATTTTAGAAAATCTTTTTCCATAAAGATTCCAATTTATATATACCAAGTTAAACCAGAATGAAGGGGTCATTTAGGTCCAAAATTTCATGGTGCAGACTAATTTTAATCCATCACAAAGATTAGACTTAGAACTGGTAATTAATCTTTAATAACCAAAATATATTTACAAGTTACCAAAAAGTTAAAAAATATGTAAACCTGGAGTACTGTTAACCAGAAATCATCTTGTACGCTTACACTGATAAGTCCAAACTCCTGGTTTACCACCTCACAGAAAAAAATAAAGCTTGATGTTTAGAAAATTGCTAAAAATAGAATTAACTGAGTTTTTACCACAATCTTTGATGTTTTAATTCCTACGTATTTTTTGGTTAAATCAAAATATCTTAATTTGAAATTTGAGAATTTGAGTTTGTGGCAAAAATCAATTTCTTGACTTCTTTTTCTCAATAATGACAAAGAAATTTGTAAATAGAGTACAAAAAATCAAGGAATCCATTTAAAAATAAAATTTAAAAGCTTTTTGGCCAATCATCTCAACATAATTTTAATATTGGTTCTAAACATTATTCTAATAAAACTTTGAAAGCATAACTTTGAACTCTAGTGACTAGTCCTAAGTCCAAAATTAGATTCAGAAATGGGAAAAGATACCTTCTCCTCCCACAGCTGCTTAAATATTCCCTGAAGATTCATTTATTCATTCAGTAAGTCTTTATAACTTACAGAATTTTCTGTCCACTAATGGAATAAACTCTTAATTAAAATAATGAATGTTTACTTACAATAATTGGACACTCTGTTTCATTAAAAAATAGTGTTTGACATTAATTGAACATTCATACTTTTGGTTATCCAGCCTCAGCTTTTCAGAGGTTTTTGAAAATGTAATAAAGATAAAATTAAAGTAAATACCGCTTATTTTTAATTTGTATGTTAAATGTTCAGAAAAAGTGTGGAACAAATGCATTCAACTTGTTATATTTTGCTTTAATGTGTCAGGCTGCAGGCTGAAGAAATACAATAAAAGTAAAATTTATTTTCCTGAGCTAATTCTTTTACATTTGAACACTATACATAAAACTACTTTAAAGAACCAAGAAATACTGAAGGGAAACCCCAGAGAAACTAAACGAGTCAAGGAAAACAAACTTTTATTATTAATTTTTAAAAAGTAAGAATGCAGGGGAACCAAAGAAGATCAAGCAGGCACTATAGGAGGGGAGNCTAGGGGGGGGTAAAAAAAATTCGGCGCACTTTGCACGCCAAATAAAAAATAAAAATATAGAATCCTTATGTCCACCCCTGCTTCCAATATTATAAAAATATATATTAAATGAGCAGAATGTGGCTTGGACAAGAAATTGTTGTGGCTGGCCTTCCTCCCCTCACTTGAGGAAACTGTAAAAAAAAACTGAACCAAGGAAACCAACAAAAACCATGAAACAGGAAGAACAGGAAAACTATGACAAACCTAAAAATGATGGAAACTATAAGACCCATGGAAAAAGTGAAACCAATGGAACCAGAAGAAATGAGGGGAAATCACAAGAGACCAGAACTTAGAAGAAACAACAGGGAGGCCAGGAGAGGCCACGGAACCCCAGTAGAAAGCAGGAAAACCAGAAAAGACCATTTACTTGGCAGAAAATGAAAAAGGAAGTAAGAAAGGAAGTAAGAAAGGAAGGATAAATGCATTAATTAGTGAATAAATGCCTGATCTGAGAACTGCAGAAGAGTGACTAGACTAGTTCCCTTAGGTAGAGCAAGCTTCATTTCCTTCTCTTCTTCAAGTATAATCAATCAATCAATTAATTAATGGAAATTAATTTCTTTCTATAAATGTGTACCTACTATTATATAAAATTATAATTCAAGCTAAGAACATTCTTGGGGGTTTCATCAAATTCCGAAATCAAATTTTGAGGTTAATTAGTGAATAAATGCCTGATCTGAGAACTGCAGAAGAGTGACTAGACTAGTTCCCTTAGGCAGAGCAAGCTTCATTTCCTTCTCTTCTTCAAGTATAATCAATCAATCAATTAATTAATGGAAACTAATTTCTTTCTATAAATGTGTACCTACTTTACCTAAAAATTATAATTCAAGCTAAGAACATTCTTGGGGGTTTCATCAAATTCCGAAATCAAATTTTGAGGCTAATTTGACTGTGTTGAAAAACTTATATGCAGGGTCAAGTTGAAGAGAAGTGGCTTAATTTAGTCGACTTACTACAAATGATATATTTTATGGCAAGGACCTTGCTTTTAAACTTGTGCAATTGTTTGGGTTTAAATATCTACATGTTTTTCAATCATGGAAAAATCTGAATCTAAACTGGAAACAACCAATTGCATTTAGAATTTATGATTGACCTGTTAAAATATCTTCAATTCTCTGTATAGGTGGGGTTGGTTCTTTACTGCAAACATTTACATCATAAGGAATTCATTTATTTTATTTCAGGTATGTATCAACACAAAACTAACAGATAATACTTGGTTACTCTGCACTATACAGGGTTAGACAACCTATCTAAAGGGTAGGTATTAATATATGTTTTATTATGTTTAATTGTGGATTAATCTTATTGAATATGTAATTAAGCCTAAATAATTCTTTAATAAGATCAGACACCCTAGCAATCCAGTGTCCGAATTTAATGAAGCTAAGCCACGTCTCAAATCCCCCAAAAACCGGTTTCAATTGAGCGCCGGCTTAAATCTTGAAAAATTTAATACAAATTTAAGTGGAACCAACCATATTTGAGCAGTGGCTTAAATTTAAGCCGCGGATCAAATTCTTTAAATTCGGCCTTGGGTGGTTTAAAATATATACATTATATAAGTTAGAAACACCCATACAGTGGAATGCTACAGATGTTTCTAACACATTTTTAGACATTAAAATATAGTTTGATTGACTAAAATGCCTTTTAGATTTAAATCATCAGTGAATGTTTGGTGTGACTTAATCTGATTTACATTGAAAAATTACAAGAACAAGATGAACATGAGATGTTGTATGTTGTATGCTGATGTAAACATTTCCTTGTGAGAAATGAAGTTAATTCTCCATTGTAGATTTGAACAACATAGAATCCCAACAGTACAAAGGTTAGAATACAAATCCTCCAGCTGTTACTGTACCTGGATTCAGAAGCTAGTTAGAATTAGGCATCTGATGATAATTAAAACTATAGCAGTGCTCACTCTGGAGTGTACCATATAGATCTTGCCAGCCTATATTAGGGATCTGATGATAATTAAAACTATAACAGTGCTCACTCCGGAGTATACCATATAGATCTTGCCAGCCTATATTAGGGATCTGATGATAATTAAAACTATAACAGTGCTCACTCCGGAGTATACCATATAGATCTTGCCAGCCTATATTAGGGATCTGATGATAATTAAAACTATAACAGTGCTCACTCCGGAGTATACCATATAGATCTTGCCAGCCTATATTAGGGATCTGATGATAATTAAAACTATAACAGTGCTCACTCCGGAGTATACCATATAGATCTTGCCAGCCTATATTAGGGATCTGATGATAATTAAAACTATAACAGTGCTCACTCCGGAGTATACCATATAGATCTTGCCAGCCTATATTAGGGATCTGATGATAATTAAAACTATAACAGTGCTCACTCCGGAGTATACCATATAGATCTTGCCAGCCTATATTAGGGATCTGATGATAATTAAAACTATAACAGTGCTCACTCCGGAGTATACCATATAGATCTTGCCAGCCTATATTAGGGATCTGATGATAATTAANTGAGGAAATCATGAAGAAAGTGGTAAAGTAGGATTTTATATTATTTCATCTTTAGATCTACATTTTATTAACAATTCATACAAACCATTCCTCCCTCTCCTGGGTTTGGTTGCATTGGGGTAAATTTTTTTCTTTTCTTTTATTTCTTGTCTAATGCACAGTTAGTTCAGCTGAGTGGAAGGGGGTGAAAGCCATTAAAGGAAAGAGAAAAAGTTAAGAATAGAATAAAAAGTAGATATAGTTGATGAGAGTTGAGGATAGAGCTAGACATTTTTTAGTTCTATGTTAATTGACGAGGGTCTATAGGGGAATCCTTTTCCCAATATTACCATCGCAAATCGCATCCCATCCCAAATCCCATCCCATCCCAAATCGAAGCGCTCGTTAATTTATAGAAAGTTCCAATATTTTTATGGGTTTGTTTGTTTTAATGAACGATAACATCATTCTTGTGAATTCCATTTATTTCCTTAAAGGAAAGATCATTCCTGTTAACGATGCCCAGTCCTAGATGAGGTCTCTATTTATGAATAATAAAGTATTCTTTGGGAAACTTTATTAGAACTTCAACTTTAAGATTAAAAATAGAGTTTTCAGTTGGAATTTGGATATACCGTTTTTAATGGAATAAAATATGCATCAATCTGATAATCCGTTCCTAGAACAAACATTAATATGTAATTTAATACAAACATTAATATGTAATTTAATACAAACATTAATATGTAATTTAATACAAACATTAAAGAGACTGTAAAGTGTAGAAGTAATCTTCTGAGAAAAAATGATTGTTTTTCAGTGCATCAGTTTTATTATAGAAAAATCTTCAGCAGTTCTGTTTTAACAATTAATTTGAGGGAACCTGTTTCACCTGTTTCAATGAAGAGTCAAATGTAAAGTCATTTTAATACACGGTTTAAAAAAAAAAACATGAAATAATTAAAATTTTCAAACATTTTTCTATTTTTATAAATTTATGCTGCATATCAAAATACAGGGTGTCTTTAAAAAAAAGAGTAGTTGAGACCATGGGCCCGAAGCTCAATTCTAATCCAATTTTAATTTTCTTTCACATTAAAATTATCTGTGAAATATTTCCAAAGGACCAAACCTTGTATCGCGACTGTAGCATTTAAAGTTTAAAAAACACTTGACTGTACTAAGAGACAGTCTGAGACACCCCTGTACAACCAAATAGAAATTCTAATTTGATAATATGAATATTTGTAAACATGTTGCAAATCCAATTGTGTAAACAAGTTACTAAAGTTATGAGAGTAACATGGCACAATAATAATAAAACCTTAGAGATATTTGACAGCAGGATGTGTACTGTGTAAAAACTAAGTGAATGTTCACTAAAACCTATGTTTGAATCAGCTTCAACCAAGTTTACCTGGCTTTGCTACAATAAGAACTGTTGGCTGTAGAAGCATGGTACCTCCAAATGAAGCAACCTAGTTAAGAAACAGGATTGATTTGAACCTAGGGTAGCTGAGCAAACAAGAGTGGCATGAAGCGTCTGAATTTTAGGATCTCTTCTAACCTGATTCCTATCTGCTGTCAGAGCTATGTCAGTAAGGGCAATATCTATTTCTTCACGCTCAATCATTCCTTGATAAAGATACAGTGGGTCTCATAAAATTATTGATAGGAAGACAACTTTAAGCAAGCTTATGTGTATTTTGTATCGTAATTAAACAAATAGTTTTACAACTTATTGAGTGAAATATGTCTGTGTGCACTGCACAATTGCTTGGGTTCATATTCATTGGACTGATAAAAAACATAAAGTCTGTAATCAGTTTTTAATGAAAAGCTCTTTAATTGTTTACTGAAAGTTTGACCTTGTAAATAATTTAAAGTAAATCATTAATTAATTTATGAAGTACAGGGTGTCCCATAAAACATGATAATTTCTTGATAAGTAAAGTAAGACATTTATTTGCGAACCTATATTGAAAAGTTTAAATACTTTTTTACGAAATACGCAGCGCTTATATCCTTGACATTTCCAAAATTATTTCAGTCTCCTGTGTATTTCCAATATTATCAGAGATAAAAATGACTTTGCTAGGTATTCATTATATTTAAGAACATTTTTAAAAGATTATTTTTTGTCAGGACAATTTGTTGTCTCTCAACTCTCATGTTTACTGGGACACCCTGTATTTAACCTATTAAACCATTGTAGTGGGATTTTCTTCCACCAATTCTTACTCCCTCCTTAACCTAATCAATTAAAGTTAAGTTTTTTATTGTGTTCTATCTTTGATACTATCAATTGATTTTATTCGATTATCTTATTAGATTAAATTCGGTTGTATTTATCTCTACCTTTTTTAACTACAATTTGTTATTATTTTAACAACCCAAAGATGTTTTTAAAGCTAGAAAACTCAATACTCTCATACATTTAAGACTGGTCATGTGAGTTCCGTCTGTATCACGTGACAACAATACAATGCCAATGGCTGAAGTTCTAGTGACGTAATACGGACTATACGGACTATGTGTAATTATGTTACCTATTAAAATGCAAAATAAAAAACATAAATTATAATAGGCGCAAACCTGAGATTCTCAGGCTCCTGTGGGATATCGCCGTTTTCAGATTGGTTGTGTATTTGGTAAATATAATCTGTTTAATAATACAACTTTTAAACAAAATTATATATGTATGAATTTTCGTATAAATTTTACACAGTGTTATATCAACTTCTCGAGACAGGAGGAAAATCAGATAGATGTCTTATATGTAACGTTCAACGCCTGAGATTCTCTGGTACCATCATTCTATTCCCCCTTTACAATCCCTTTAAGTACTATATAAATTAATTAGGACTAATTAGGTATTTTTATGTCAGCTAAGTGCTAACTTCAATCCAATCCCCAGATGTCTTTTTCTTCTCCAGTTTCCTTTTATAGCCAATAGTCGAGATTTTAATTATAACATTTCAGGGGAAAAAGGTGCTAAAATATATTCTTCACTAAACAAATTAAGAACAGATAATTATATAGATCATATAAAAGACACTTAAATTAAACTGAGTTGAATTTAAGATTTTGGACCATAAGCGCAACAAAAAAGTAAGATTTTAGGTGTATTTTTTGTGATTTTTTACTCAAATCTTTTATAAACAACTCATTGATATGGCTTGGTTCAGGCCTATATCTTCTGTCAGAGTAAAGATTTTGCATGAATTCAAAAAAACAATTAAATGAAATAAAAAGTTGATTTCCTAGAGTGGTTTGTAATGTGTATAAAACAAGATTTCCTAGGGTGGTTTGTAATGTGTATAGAACAAGATTTCTTAGGGTGGTTTGTAATGTGTATAAAACAAGATACCTAGGGTGGTTTGTAATGTGTATAAAACAATATACCCTAGGGTGGTTTGTAATGTGTATAAAACAAGATACCCTTGGGTAGTTTGTAATGTGTATAAAACAAGATACCCTGAGGTGGTTTGTAATGTGTATAAAACAATATACCCTAGGGTGGTTTGTAATGTGTATAGAACAAGATTTCCTAGGATGGTTTGTAATTGTAATATGTATTAAACAAGATTTCCTAGGATGGTTTGTAATGTGTTTAGAACAAGATTTCCTAGAGTGGTTTGTAATGTGTATTAAACAAGATTTCCTAGGATGGTTTGTAATGTGCTTAGAACAAGATTTCCTAGGGTGGTTTGTAATGTGTATAAAACAAGATTTCCTAGAGTGGTTTGTAATGTGTATAAAGCAAGATTTCCTAGGATGGATTGTAATGTGTATAAAACAAGATTTCCTAGAGTGGTTTGTAATGTGTATAAAACAAGATTTCCTAGAGTGGTTTGTAATGTGTATAAAACAAGATTTCCTAGAGTGGTTTGTAATGTGTATAAAAAAAGAAAAAAGAAAGTGACAATTTATCTAAAGGGTTGCCACAAACTCGTATCCCTAGATCTATTGCAACCCAATGACGTAAACCATCAAGTTGTAAAGATATGAGGATTAAGAAGATTGGTTTTGTAAGAAAAATTCCTTTCAATTATTATTTACCAAGACTGGTTTCTAAAAGCTAAATGTATTTACCCTGCTACCATAAAATCCATCAACTGATAGAACTGCGTCGTAGGTAAAATTTAGTCGTGTGCGCAGGTTCTCAAATATTTCTCCCAGAGAACCAGTGAACCTGGTTCCTGAATACCTTAACAGAAAGCAAACTATTAATTAAAGGGACTGCTAGCGTAGTTTTAAGACTTAAAAGTATTTAATTCTGATAACTCTTCTTTGGAAACCCACAATTGAAGATAATCAGTTTTAAAAATTATAAATATTGATATAATTCAAACTTGATTGAAGACAAAGGATTTATGGACACTGTTGTGAATAAGCATTCCCATCTTAGCGTGAAGAGGATCAATTGAAATTACGCTTACAGTCCCTTTAAACCTGGTAATCCATAGTTTATGGGACTTTATAATGACGACCTGAAAATCTTAAAACATGATGGATCTTGTTTCTTATAGAGCCGTCTCTTCAGTCTCATCCATTGTTAGTTTTATTTATTGTTTTACACAAATACAAGTTTCTTCTTTCTGCCAGTTCTTTTATAAATTATGCGTTTCACCCATAGAGAAGGTAAAGGTAAAGCATACCTCAGATTAATTAATTAATATAGAGTGGTCGGTTGTGTACATTACGATATGTTTACGTAACTAACACTGTACCCTTGTATAGAGTGATCGTGTTTCTAGGGGGAATTTCATCTATATATAAGTTTGGCTTGTCTGTCTGTTTGGGTGTCTGTCTGTTTGTTTGTGTCCAATAAACGTCAAAACGGCTGAACCGATCGGGCCCAAATTTTTTGCGGGACATCACGCGACCATAGGGAAGGTTTATGAATGATAAAAACTAAAAAATGTAATTTTTTTTTAAATCCGTAAAATTTTTACTTCTTTGTTTTAAAATGTAAACAAAAAGAACATGTTCACAATTTAAATAGAAGATGGGCGCGAAGCGCCCTAAAAGCCTAGAAATGCATTTTACAATCTCCAGAAATACGATGACTCTAAGATATGTAAACATATCGTAATGTACACAACCGACCACTCTATAAAATAATTAATAGAGAGGTCGGTTGTGTACATCTGAGGTAAGCTTTACCTCTTCGTTTCCTTTCTCGATGGTTTCATCCTTCAAATTTAGAGAAGATAATTTACCACGTAAATTTTAATATTTTCAACTTTTTCTAAAAAATGCATAATAATTTTTTAATGAAAATTTCAAATCCTTTTCATCAAATTCAAATTCGTAAAAGATTTGCAATGCCCCGTATACTGTTCTAATCCAGTCGCAATATAAACTATTAAAAAAAGATAAAAAATTAAAAAAGTTGAAAGTATAAAATAATGATGAGAGGGAAACAAGTTGATAAAATTATACAGAGAGCACGGTACATTTGATTGTGCAGAGCTAAGTATATTTTTCTTAGTTCGACGACGAAGTATTTAAAAAGAATGTTTACTGTAAATATGTCGATGCAGGTAGATAACCAATCCTAAGCTTTAATCCCATCATATCCCTAAAACAGACCTTTAAAAAATGCAATATTAAAAATGTAACGTCCTTTGCTGTGAACTACAATATAGTAACATTAACTACAATATAGTAACATGATCAAAACAAAACACATTAGCCTAAGTTTTTGCACTGGATTAAGGTAACAGTAATAAAATACCTCGACATGTTCTTTCCGTGGATAAGTTGCAACTCCTTCTTGAAAACTACATCATCAACAACTGACTGAATATAAGAAATGAATGAAAAAAAGAGATGTCCAAGGAGTTTTTAAGTTTCAAAATCTTAAGTAGTATTCTTTTTTTTAACGAGGACACTTATTTTTAGTGTTAAAGGGACTGTAATTGTGATTTTAAGTGACCCTTAAACGGTACTCTTGAAAACCTTATCTGATAAATAGAAGATATTGTCGTTTTTCTAGATTAAAAAAATGTTACTTGAAATTTGGAGATACGATGAATTTTATTTTCTCTCTCTAGGATGTACAAATCATTGTTGAGGAGGAGATGTTTGTTGTTCAAGTAGGTTTCAGGATTTACAAATATCTTCATATCCTTTGTATCATTCAACCTCGCTCCCTTCACAGTGCTTTAACTATATCAGATTATGGCGGGGTAAGCCGCAGATTCACAGTGATTGAATCATACAAAAGGCGAGAATAACTAAAAATTTACAGTACTTGTATCAGATTAGGCAGGGTGCAATATAGATTCACTCATACAAAATTTGACGGGATGAACTGCAGTTTATAATTTTAGTTTATATTTTTTAGTTTAAGAAATATAATTTAACTCAACTTTTAAATTCAATCTTTTAACTAATTTTTTTTAAGATCTAGATATTTATTTAAGTATCGAGGTTACTACATTTTACAAGATTGTTAATATGGATTTAGCACAAAACGTTTTTTGCGATGTTATCGTGTACATACTACATACAATTATAAATTGATAAGGTTGAAATCTAGAATTTTACAGATACATTTTCTTTTAGTTTTTTCATGTTTGGATTGCTGGGAAATTTATATTAAAGTATTGACAAAGTTGACAAAGCAACAGCTCAAGAGAAAAAACCTATATTATAGATTAAAGGATAGCATACTTTTGTGAAATATGACTGGGGAAAACTACAAACACAGTGTGTGTTATCTCTTATTGGAAACTGCTACAATTAACAGTGTGCAATGCTTTCACATAAACATACACGGGAAAGAACATTATTGTTAGCTTCATAACGAGGAACATTGACCGTTCCTCGTTAGAAATGAGGTTAAAAAAATATTTTGACTAATGATTAAGGGTTTATTTTCTGTTCGGAAAATTAGGAAATCAATTTTTTAATATACACTGTTCCTTGCAGATATACATATAGTTTCCACTCTCAGTTCTTCTAATTATTGTTCCATTGTTTATCTCAGATATTTCAGTCTTGCTTCCCCCTTCATCTCCTCCTGAAGATATGGAGATTGGAGAATTATGATAAGGCATATGTATGCATCAGTTCTAAACTTTTTTATCATTTTTTTTAACTTGTATTTCTATAACTTTGAAACTTATTCAGTGCAATTTATTTTTGAGGAGAATTCCTCACTAATGCAAGAGGTAAAAATATCTTTAAAACATATCAACAATTAACATTCATGGTATTAATACAAAATTTAAAAAGTTGCAAAAAGCAATAATACCAGTCAGAATCAAGGGTTGAAGGGGTTCAAAGCATTTAACATGAATGCTTTTGACTTCTTTCACTGATTACAAAATATTAGATTTTAGTCATAAAATTGTATAATTCTTTTTAACATAATTCAATTCCCCCGAAACACTAAACGAGACTGTCGTGCCATTTCAAGTTTCCATCCATTTAAAGATAAAAATGGAATACCTGATTCACAAGATGGAATACCTGATTCACAAGATGGAATACCTGATTCACAAGATGGAATGCATAATTCACAAGATGGAATACCTAATTCACAAGATGGAATACCTAATTCACAAGATGGAATACCTAATTCACAAGATGGAATACCTAAAAATTGCAAGAAATCTACAAGTCTCTTAATAGAGAAACCACAATTAAAAATTATATTTTAAAGAGAATTATTTTATTCTGGATCAGGCAAAGCTAGCTTTTAAAGACATCTTTGTGAATCGGACATTTCACTTTGTAAATGGAAGGTCACTTGAAATTACGTCTACTGAGAAATGTTCAACAATTTGACACGAAGCAATTGAGCCTGTGGCACAAAATGAAATTGTCTAATCTCTATATCTTTGCAACCTGATGGTGTAAACAAGTATTTGATCTGGCAGAAATAATGCACAGTTTGAAATATCTAAAACAGTATGAAAGATCTAAAACATTGGGTTCCAAAGATATATTGTTTGTGGCAAAGACTTAATTCCTTTATTGTATTCGATTTTAATAAATTGATAGTGAATTATGAATATTTCTAATATTGTCCTAAGCTAGTGATCGATTCATCATCACATATACACCCCTCCAGGAACAAACTAGAGGTCATGAAGTACAAATCGAATTTTAAACGAAAGAACAAAAAAGGACTGATCATTTTCGGAATGCACTTTAGGGTGTTTTTTTTTAAAGAGAAATGTTTGACATTATTCTCTCTAGATACTTTATTTGCTGTACTGTCCCTATTAGCCTTTTTTAATCTGTATATAAACTGATGTTACTCTGGATGCCTAGAACTTGGTTCGGTATTTTAATTTAAAGTGTTTTTTTGTTTTGTTTAGTGTTTAAATATGTTTTACAATAATAATTAAATTTTGGGCAAACTTATACTTCATGATTTCCTTCTAGGCTGGTTCCTGTTGTACACTTCATTGAATTGGTTTAAAGAGATTATAATTTGTTCTAAATCAGGATCTTAAAAAGAAAATTTACTTTGATTATTCATTTTCTATCGATTCTTAAATTCTTTATAATATCATATTTTAAATTGGAAACCTTAATTTTATAATTGTAGAACAATTAAAATATTATGTTTCAGTTTTACATTTGGTTTAGATGTTTATAAAATGAATTATTAAGCCTCAAAGCTCAAATATGTTTTGTGGTTCAGAAAAGCAAATAACTTTTGTCATAAAGTAGAAACCCAGGTTTCGTGAATTTAGTATTTTAAAACTGGGGAATAAGAAGATGACAGTTAAGCAATCTTATGTGTATTTGATGTAGTTAGTAGCAAAACAAAATTAAGTAACTTGAAAATCAACTTTTTAAGTGAAATGGGTTTGTTTTTACATTAGTTGCTGGTTTTCATGCTAACAAGATTATTTAATGTCGTGACTTGATTCTCACAGTCGTCTTTCTATTTCACAGTTTTGTGGGTCTCACTGTAGTTTATAATATGGTTCAGGTTAAATCATATTCTTATCAAAATCAAATTTAGGTATAACTGACTAAACATATTAAACGAAATTTCTTTTGTTTATTTCAAATCTGTGTTATTTATGAGGCCTAATTATTTTTGTCTGATTTAAAATTGCGTATTATCTGTATTTTTGTCAAGGTAAAAATGTTCTTTTATCTAGTTTTGCTGTAGAATTGTTTTTAAATAATATTTAAGATTGAAAACTAAACCTGATTGTTCACTTGTTACCAAGCCTAGGTTCTCCCTTCACATTAACGTTACATCATATTCGTATATGTTGCTTTAATTTCTAATTCTTGATTCACAACCGTACTCTTCGAAAAATTGTCTAATTAAGAAAGAATCAGAATGCATGAGTTCGTTTTAAAAAATCTATAAATTATTTTCAAATGGAGGGTCACAGTATCCTTTCTGATCGTCAATAAAGGGTACCATTGTGAATTAGATATGCAACCTATATATAAAGGATCACTTGAAAAGTTTGTCAGCAATCTTATGAAGAACTCCGACAAAATAATAAAATTTACTAAAAAATAAACAGATGAAATTTAACTTTGTTTAATGATTTGAGGGAACTGGGAAGAACTATTTAAATGAATTACATCTAAAATTCGGTGTGAATTGTTAATTATTATTTTTTATATGTATATTCGATTATATTAATTTACTTCTCTTAAATTAAAACAGATTTTAAACCAACGTTTTTTAATCGTCAAAATACAAACTTAATGCAAGAGTATAGAGAAATAATATATACTTTGGAGAAAAAAACTCACCGGGAGTGGTTGAACACGCGATTGAGTGTAGCCTAGACTCTACGTAGTCTCTTTTTGTGAAACTTTTTCTTCTTTCATTCGCTGGGGTTCATATTTTAAAAAAAAAATTTTGGTTTTCACTTTTTTCGTTCAATCGATGGTATAAAATTTTTAAAATTTGTTTTCCTTCAACCGCTGGGTTCCAACCTTTTTCAACCTTTTTCCTACTATTTTCCTACTATTCAAATCACATTTTTTAAAGATATTTTTTCCTTCAATCGCTAGTTTTATTTCTTTTATTATAGGTTTTTTCTTCACTCAAGCGCTGGGTTTCATATTTAAAACAAAACAGCGGTTAAAAGACTAAGTTTCAACTGCTCGTTCAACCACTCCTGCTGAGTTTTTTTTCAACTTATATATCATTTCGAATTTTCGTATTGTAATTGTATATAGAATGAGAACATAAAATCTACGGAATTTACAAATTGTATATAGTTTTGATCATAGCAACACAGATTTGGCTGCGCTAGATGTCGTCTTTTCAAGATTTAGGGGGTTTTCGTTCACAATAACCCTAAGGCAGAAGCCCAAAGGAGTTCCGCGCCAGCAGCGAATGGTCTCTCTCTGTCTTGTAATTCAATGCTGCCTGCGCGGAACTCCTTTGAGCTTCTGCCTCTGAGTTATTGTGAACGAGAAACCCCTAAATCTTGAAAAGACGACATATATTGTTCTATCTGTTTTGTTATTATGGCGAATTGTAGGTCTTAATTTACATTTAGCATTAATCAAGGAATTATCATAGTTAATGCTTTAACTGCTGTTTTGGTGAAATTTGTCCCAAGGTATGAAACTATAGTGTACTTTATATCATTACTCCCTTTATCGTGAATTTTATAATGAACGTGCTATACGGTAATCATCGTGCTGTATTGTTTAACTATAAAGTTTTGATTGGTGCCTGGATTTTCTCGACAAAAAATTAGGATATTTTCAACACATTTTTTTCAATCGAAATAAAAATCAAATTTGACTCAACTTTATATTTTGACTTCTGCTTTGTTTCTAAGCTTTTTTGATCTAGAAACAGCCATTGAAATAAGACAAGAACAAAGGTTTCATAAAATTACCTATAACACTATTATTTTGGCACGACGTGCCCTAAAAATTTTTGGACTGAAATGTTCTCTGTATCTCGAAGGTTCTCGCCTTCTCTATAAAGGGAAAATGTCTGTCCAAAAACTTTAAACCTAGCACATATCTAATACTTGATATGAAAGATTTAGTTCTCCTTCTACATTGAAAAGTGTTTAATTCTTACAATTTCTTTTATATTGTTTCAGTAGCAGAAGTGCTCAAGTAGATTTATAGAGAATCCACTATTGAAAATAATCAACTTTCAAAAAGAAAAGATTATTATTTGCTCGTGCATTCGTACAGACAAAGCTTTTAAAAGAACCGTTGTAAATCGGACAGTCCGCTCATGCAGAGTCACTTAAGGTTAAGTGTACAATCCCTTTAATAAAATGTTGTTATTTATCAAAGCTTTGAAGCATTATATTCAACTAACAATGGTTCATTGTGGAGAAATTTTTAGTAAAGATGAATTCTTAAATATTACGTTTTACATAAATTGATAAATTAATGAATTAATTATCCATATTTTCGGATTTAATCAATTATCAACAAAGTTTTCAACGACGAGGACTGCACAATATGGCAAAGTGACTAAGTTTGTGGCTCAAACTTAAATTTTATAATCCCTTTAATTTTGCAACATGATGGCGTAAACTTTTGATTTTGAAGCCTTGACAGGTTGGCTGGTATAAAACAACAAAAAATTATCATCACCATTTTCGACTTTTTTTGGCATTCTTTTTCAACTCCCATTAAACCCCAAACTATTAAAGTTGGCGGTCTATTTTTTTTTCAATAAGCTGACCTTAAAAAATTCGGACTATTAACATTTCAACCCAATACCTTTACTCTTTTTTTTCAAAGGGGGCGCCTATATATAGATTCAGACCTCCAAATCTTTATGGGTTTAAACTTAGACTCCTTGACCTATAGTTTGACATATCTATACATCTGTATAGTCAATCTATACAAATCTACCAGGTGCGTACTAGACTACTTGACCTATAGTTTGACATATCTATACATCTGTATAGTCAATCTATACAAATCTACCAGGTTCGCACTAGACTACTTGGCCTAAAGTTTAACATATCTATACATCTGTATAGTCAATCTATACAAATCTACCAGGTGCGTACTAGACTACTTGACCTATAGTTTGACATATCTATAAATCTGTATAGTCAATCTATACAAATCTACCAGGTGCGTACTAGACTACTTGACCTATAGTTTGACATATCTATACATCTATATAGTCAATCTATACAAATCTACCAGGTGCATACTAGACTACTTGACCTATAGTTTGACATTTCTATACATCTGTATAGTCAATCTATACAAATCTACCAGGTGCGTACTAGACTATATAGTTTAACATATCTATACATCTGTATAGTCAATCTATACAAATCTACTAGGTGCACACTAGACTATATAGTTTAACATATCTATACATCTGTATAGTCACTCTATACAAATCTACCAGGTGCGTACTAGACTATATAGTTTGACATATCTATACATCTATATAGTCAATCGATAATAGCACAATTGTAAATTCATATTTTCAGGCACAACTAAACTTTCTTTTTCGGTTTGCAACTTTTATAATTCTAATAAAGTAAAACTTTTTTCAAAAACTCTAATTAAAATAAGTATGATGTATTCCTAATTTGTAAAATTAAAACTAGTAATAAAATCATATTTTTAACTGAAAATGTTTAAATATATTCGGTTTCATTTATTTGAAATCAAACCTGTTTTGGTCTATAATTCAACAATCTTTAAACTTACGGATTTGTTTATATTATACTTTTTCATTCAAAATGTATATGCCGACAAAAAGTATTTAAGAAAAAAGGCAAAAATATTATGTATAGTGGTTCAAATTGTGATCGAAAGCCACCGCTTTCTGATATATTGACAGAACAGTTAAATCCACGTGCTCCATGCAACGATGTTGATATGGTAACAGAACCAAAGCTGTATTATTTAGATACCAATGTTTATTATAATTATTATTTTCAACTGTACTGTTCTACAAAAATAACTTGCGCATTTCATACGACAGAAAAAAGATACAGGTAAAGATTTCTAGGGTACCGTTGTAAATCTGGCGCTTGATCTTACGCTTACAGTCCCTTTAAGCCTCTGTCTGTTGTCCAAGACTTGGCAAGCACAAATGGATTGAGTTGTTCGTTGCAAAGCAAAATAATAAAATTAAAGAACAGACTGATTAACAAGTAAAAGCACATTAACAATAACTTACGGATGTTCTTTTTATTTTTTCGATTAACACGTTTTTCACATAATCAAAATAAAAGACGCAATTCTATTAAATACAATAATGTAAAATTTTTTTCAAGATGGTTCGAAGAAAAGAAACTCTCCCTAAATCTACTTTTCTACATCTTTACTTAACACTCTTCTTTCAAATATTGAATAATGTTGAAGGTTTCATGAGTTTTATACTCCCCCCCCCCTCCCAACCCTCCATTTTTTAATTTAACATTCAACGAAATAAAATATGTCAAATATGAGGGGACTGGAGTAATGTGTCTATAGATTACAAAAAATGTTTATTTTCAACACGGTAAGCACCTAATGTAATCTATACATGTACTAGAGGAAAGTGCACCTTCATAATAATTTTTGGCTTATCAACTTTGATTGGAGGAACTCGGGAGAACCACGGGAATGTCCTAAACTTTCTTGATATTTTGAGATTCTAATTCTAGTGGGTTAACTTTTATAGGGAAAAATAGCAAAATCGTAATTTACGACCAAGCGCTGGTAAACGGCTGTAGTATCTATGAGTACACTGGGCAACGCTGGGTTCTCAAGCTATATTATTAAACTGATTTAAATATTTCTATATCCAAATCACTATTTTGGATCTGAATGTTTAATTCGCTTATTTGTTCATGGTTTGATACTATATTATTTTTATTACAAAGAAATTCTACATATAACAATTAACATCTTAAGCGCCTGGACTGGACCATTGAAATCAGGGTTTAATTTATTTTAATGCGCGGGTCTTAGTTTATTAATACCCGGATTTAGACCCCATTCTCTTTTTTGATTAAAAGTAGAATTTTTGAATTCTTAATCTTCAATTACTGAATATAAAATTATGGAGAATATTTTATCACGTCCAACTTGAATGTTTGTAGTAAATACCCTACTCTAGAATGTTTGTAGTAAATACCCTACTCCAGAATGTTTGTAGTAAATACCCTACTCCAGAATGTTTGTAATAAATACCCTACTCCAGAATGTTTGTAGTAAATACCCTACTCCAGAATGTTTGTAGTAAA